GTCGGAGGTGGAGTCGGAGGTGGAGTAGTTGGTGGTGTCAGTTCAGTGCAGCAGAGATTGCAATCGCCTGCTCTGCGGAGTAATGGTCACACGAACAACAATAATGGGAGCAATGGCAGCAATAATAACAACAATAGCATAGCCTGCCCGAACTTCAAGCTGAATGCCCCCGTTTCGAATGTGATGGGTCAGAGTCAGGGCTTTGGGCAACCCAAATCGGAGCCAAGTTCTGGCTTCGACAGCTATGTGCCCATGTCGGAGCTGAAGCTGGAGAATCTGTGCGAGAACAACTATCCCAGTGCGAACACTTGCTACGGGCCCATTAATAACTCAGCACAGCAGCAACAGCAACAACAGACGCAACAGCCGCAGCAAACGACGCAGAATCCAGCGGAGCAGCGATTGAATAGTGTTAACCAAACCCTCAAGCAACGCATCAACACTTTAGTTATACGGACTCTAGCCGAAAATCTGGAGAAGGATAAGCAATCGCTGGCCAACCAGCAAGGCGGGCCAACCTCCCCGCACGCCAGTCCCGTGCATTCCATTGCCAATTCGAGTGCTAACCAAAATGCCAGTGCTGCAAATAACGCCAATAGCAACTCGAATTCGAATCTAAACAATGCCAACCACTCACCTAGTCATAGCTACTTTGTCGGCGACACCTGGAAGATAAAGGTCCTGCAGAACACCACGGTGATAGCGAATGTCAAGCAATCGGTGTTTGTGACCGACATCATACTCAGATATGCGGCCAAGAATGAGAACATAGTGGTCTCCCTAGACTGCGAGGGCATTAATTTGGGTCTAAAGGGGGAGATTACTTTAATTGAGATTGGAACAACCCGTGGCGAAGCCTTTTTGTTCGATGTGCAATCCTGTCCGGCGATGGTCACTGACGGTGGACTGAAGACTGTGCTGGAGCACGACCAGGTGATCAAGGTGATACACGACTGCCGCAACGATGCTGCCAATTTGTATCTGCAATTTGGCATACTGCTGCGAAATGTGTTTGACACACAGGCCGCACATGCGATTTTGCAGTATCAAGAGAGCGGAAAGCAGGTCTACAAGGCCAAGTACATATCGCTCAACTCGCTGTGCGAGCAGTACAACGCCCCCTGCAATCCCATCAAGGATCAGCTAAAGCAGATCTACCGAAGGGATCAGAAATTCTGGGCCAAGCGACCCCTCACGCGGGAAATGATGCTGTATGCAGCGGGAGATGTCCTCGTGTTGATACACGATCAGTTGTTTGGCAATCTGGCGCGGCAGATCAAACCGGAGAATAAAGCACTCTTCTCGGAGCTGTGCACCGAGCAAATACTCATGCAGATCAAACCCAACGAGGTGAAGATACGCAAGAAGCAGCGTAAGGTCAGCACCGAGGTCTCCGATCTCAAGCAAAAGTTGGCCCAGACCAGCAAGAGCATTGTGCTATCCAATCGCGAGATACGCCTGCTCCGGTAAGTAATAAATTACCTGTAAATTAAAATCATATATCTATGATTAAACCACAGGTACATGGACCTGACAGAGGATGAGAAGGAGCGCCTGAAGGGCTATTACAAGGTGGCCAAGAAGCTGGAGAAAATGGAGTCCGCCGGCAATCCCAGCAAGTGGGTTTATACAATTACAAAATAGATAAATATTCATTTTAAAATTATATTTCTACCCCCAGAGACCAAAGTGATTCAGAGGATGAGCCAGAGCCAAATGAGAATGACACATTTCCCAGCTTGGATTCGGTGCCCTCAGACAATTCGCTATCGGGCACTTTTTCGCCACGCTTCAGTTCAGAGCCGCCAAGTCTGACTGAATCCATGCAAATGCTGGAGGAGATTCTCCAGAACAAATCCATGGATCGCATAGCACGTATTGATAAGCTGGAGGCCATTCTGACGACTGCCACCTCGCTGCCATGTGAACAAGTTAGTTATCCACAGATACTTATAATGCAGATAGGTTAATTTTTGTATTTTTATAGATTATAGCCTCAAATTCGATGCAAGAGCAATTAGGATCGAGCATTGCTACCACCGAGAATCTGCAAATTGTTCGCGAAAAATCCAGAAAGTGAGTGTTTAATATTTTGAAAAGTAAATGTATATTAACTAAGGAATATCTTTTTCTTCAGCATTAAGAACTGCAATTGCCAAGGGGAGCGCAGTGTGACGCCCATTCTGCGAACGACTGACAAGCGGGTGGTGAAACTGGTGGACGCCGAATCGCAGACGCTGAGCACCGGCGACGTGGTCATCACCAAGATCTTCTTCCAGGACGAGCACGAGCGGGCCAAGGAGGCAGCCCTGCTGAGCAACTCGCCCACGAAGCGAGTGTCTCCCATATAAACATTTCAACCTTCGAACAATGATTCCTAACAAGCAAAGCGCAGACATATTACGTATTATTATTTTGTTTTTTAATAGTTGAGGTGCTCCTACCTGGGCTCTCAACACTCTAACGACTATGCAATAACTTTCATACCCAATTGAGAAGCAATATATTTTGTGCCTAGATGTTGAACATTGCAATAACAATAATATATGATTTACCAATTGTTAACAACTCGCCTCCGGCTCGGATCTTTTTATATTACAACCGACGAACGTTGGCGAAACAATCTTACCGAATCCCACTTCTCAGACAATGCATTGGCCACTGAGAATCTGTGCGGAATTCGATGAGGTTAACGACTTAAGAGCTGCGCCAAACAATCATTCAAAATGTATCTGTTAATTGATTTTTAGACTATTTTGCTATTGATTGTAAAAACGGAATTGAAATTAATTCTGCGTTGGACCAATGTGTATTAAATCCAAATGAAATTAATAAATGCAGTTTTCTAGAGGTTTCCTAATATCTTTGTCGCCATATCAGAAGTGAACTTATTGTATTTTAACCATAATACTTTATAAACGGAAAAGATTATTCAACTCAATTTAAGTTTAACCAAACAATCTTCTTAATTAATAACAACAAATTGTGTAGTCAATCTAAGTAAATGAGAATTAATTGTAATGGAAATATTACTGAAATGGTACGATTATAAATTATATATCTAATTGAATAAAACGTGTATATACCTATATAATCCGGAAGATGGTATTTTTAGACTTATTTCCAGAAATAGAGGATTCTGATTTCTTTTTTGGCTTTTTTATTTAGACACCAAACACCAAGAGTTTAAAAACATTTATAATTTTATATGTTTATATAGCAATATTATAAAGCGGGAGATCAAGCTCTCCAAAAGAGCAGTCAGAAAGTTCTGTGTATCGCAGTTAGCCTGATCTATCTCATAGAACAAGTATTTTTTGTAAGTAGTAAGTTAATATTATGGTTTTTTTCTGAGATGGGAATATTCTGGTGCAAATTTGTTCACCGTGTAAAGTCCTTTTACTTTTTATTTGTCATGCATTTGAATTTTTAGACTGGTGCTCTCTGCTTGAAAGCAGTTAGCCCTGTTTTCTTATATTACGAATCGAATTCAAACAGTAATTTAATCATGGTTAGGTTAGACATCAAAATTCGACGGATACAATAATTTCCATTTGGAAGTGTTTTGATTAAAAGTTGCATATACATAAATTGTTAAAAACCCAATTCGAATTTATGAAGTTTATGATTTCTTCTTATTTGTATGCTTATTTCTATAAGGAGCTAATGCTCTCAAATATTTTTTGTCTTATGACTTAAAATGTATTTTTACTTTCCTTTGCAATTGCATTGCCGTCTCCAAACAGACTATTTTAAATTCGTTTATTTTTCCTCTTTTGAAACAGCCTTTTTTGAGCTTTTTAACTATATTATATGCATTTCTTATTTAAATAGTTTTCACCTACAAGTTGCACTCGGCGTTCCATTTATGCAAGAACATGTAAAGTGAAATTCGTAAAGCAGAAATATTATGCCTAAGCCAAATATATATACTCGTTCTATGTACTTATTTATTTGCAAAGGAATACATGTGCCTGTATATATATTCGGTAAAATCACATCTTTGAATTGCCACAGCTCGCTAGTCTTATGTACAATTGGACCTAACTCGCTTGATTGGCCTGTGAACAACTGGAGGTTGTACGAAGCATTAAGATCGTACTTAATTGTATTTGATTTAAAGAAACCGGTTGATAGCTTTTCATTTTAACTTTTACACTTATTGACTTAATTTAAAAAATGTACAACCATAAGCTAATTGAAGTATTAAACCAGTTTGGCATAAACCTACTAAACATTGTCAAAACATTTAAACGGCACTAAGCTATTTGGATTTTGACTAATTTTTTTATCGATTAGCATTGAAGTTTGTTTTTTAAATTAAGTCAGGTCGTTATGGTTTTGAACATTTTGCTTAATATTAAAGTAGTTGTCTGTATAGACTTTCACTTAAATATTTCGTTTGGATACCGTGCGAAACCTGCATCTCGACAAAAATGTCAAATATATCTACATAAATGCAAAGAGGTACTTTAGAAAGCCATTTCATTGGTTTACATAAATTAAATATGTACCTTTGCTCAACAAATCTTTGAAGTGAAAAATGAGCAAAGAAAGATCCTGAAAGCATTAAGATATAGAGTAGTAAAGCTTCATTATAGACTTTGGCTAACTTGAATAGCTGTCATTTAGTTTAAAAATAATATTACTCTGAGTAAATATATTTTCAAATTCGAATATTTATGATTAAATTCTAAGCTCAGTTTTGTGTATACTTATCTTAAATATGTATGATTTCTAGGTGTTGTCACCCAAGATTGGTATCGATTTTCGTTTCAAAGACATTGAATGTCGTACATTTTTTAGATGCGAAACACACATTACAGTCACTGATAAGTTTATTTTAAATACTATAAAAATAGACATTTATGTTTATTATCTCCCCATTATAAGCTTCAAAATTTAAGTCATCGTTTTCTGTCTTTCAAAAACAAACTAAACGTAAAGAAAAGTCAATCATACTTATGCAGAAACTTAAAGCAAAAGAAAAACAAAGTCGATTAATTAAAATAAAAATTTTATTTATTTCGCTAAAATAATTAAACAAAACATAATACATATGTACAGTGATTATTGCTTGCACATTCACGAAAAGGAAACAGACAGAAAGTTTTGTTTTTGAGTTCAGCTTAATTTAACAATTATGTTTTTCATTTTTGCATTGTGTTCATTTAAGTGATTAAATTGCGTGTTGGCTAACCATAGACACAGACTATTGTTAATTGAGTAGTAAATGTTTCACATTAATTTAATGGACACTAAAATTGAATGGCTATTAATTGCAGCTTAGCACATGTATTGACATCGAAAAGCAAATATTTATTTCTCTCATTGCACAAATTCTATTAATCTCGGGGTTTTTGTGTGTCCTTCCTGCCTTTTCAAATCCTCCTGTTTCCGTTTCCGTTCCTTTCGCTGAATTTTTGATGCGCTCTCAAAATAACAAAATGTTTTATGCATTTATGTGTAATGTGTGTGTGTGGGTGTGGGTGAGTGGTTTTTGTTGGGTTTTTTATGTGGGTGTGTAATATATAGGTATGTTTATTCACTTAATGAGATCAAGTCATATAGCGCATTATCTCGCGCAGAGCATAGAGTAACTCGGCCTGATTACGGGCTTCCATTATCATTAGATTCACATGAACCTGTTGGCCAGATATCAGATAATAACGATTAATAGATATTTATGTACAAACAACCGGGATATATGGTTGGAAAAATTCCACTTACCTTTTCACTGTCCTGCAGCTCGACCAGCACACTATCATAATCCTTGGTTGTAATACGCTCGGGAAAGCAACAGGCTGTCTTAATAAACATTTTCAATGGGCGCACGAGGAGCTGAATAAGAATGTTGGTTAGTTTTATAAAAATCCCATAACATTTTTAAATAAGAAAAGATAAAATCAAGCTGGTAATATCTACGAGAAGTAGTTGTAGAAGTACTCAGTTAACTCAGTTTATTATCATGATTAAAGTAGTAACCCTACCTGATTCACTTCACCATAATCGTAGTCATCGTGACGTATGCCATAGATGCACTGGATATAATTCCAAATGGCCCGACGAAACTTGGAAGTGTCCACATTTTTAATGCCACCCATGGTGCAATAGGTTAGATTGTAGGCGGCCCGAAACTTGGCATCCAAAAAAGTGCCCACATCGTTGTACAGCCTGGTGTAAAATGAGAATCCTTTCTTGAGAGGAAATTACTATCAGGAAAAGCTTGTACTTACCTATCGACCAGAGAGTAGCCATGATCTTCCCAGGAGTAATCCTGTATGCGAAACGTGTTGATGTTTTCAGTGCCGCGGCGGGCAAAGTCCTGGTAAATGAAATTGGCATCGTCCACGTAGTGCGATAGGTTTGTTGGCACGGCAACTGCCGCCTCCGGAGTCACGGCGGCCAACTCGGCAGTCTGCTGCTCCACCTTCTGGAAGCGGCTACTCAGCTCGGCCTCGCTGCACTCGTCCTGTTTCTGGGACAGGACCTTCATGCGTTCCATCAGCGCCTCCACGCTGATTCCGTGCTGCTGCGGCGGTTGCTGGGCCGTGGCTGTTAATCAAATTAGACAACAACGACTATTTAAACCTTAGCAACAAAAGAAATGATTGTTTTCGCATCTGGTCGGAACTTCAAAATTTATTTTTAAATTAAATTGAAAAGAAGCGTAAAATCAGTTCACTATAGGACGCCATCATTTAAAGTTTATATTTTTAAGTTTTGAGGATTTGTAAACTAGCTTAAAATTAAATTTGTTCATTCCTAAAGTACTTAGGTCATTTTCTTTTGATGAGAATAATCTTTCTTTGGTAATGTCATCTATAGTGAAATATAAAAAAGGGAAAAATATTGTTTCTAGGGTATCTTTTTTAATACCAAAATATCTTTTGGACTAATATTGCATTTAGTGTTTTGGAAAACATCAAACTCCCACCCGAAAAATCAAAAAGGGGAATTCCAATTATAAAAATAAAACAATTTGTTCCTTATTTCAGTGTGCGGTAGCAACTACCTTACCCAAATATCCGTTGAGGGCCGCTGCATCGGATGCACCTCTGGTCGCATTTCCAGAACCGGGTTCTGCTCCTCCATTGTTGTTCGCTGCGGTTTGGCTATTGTAATCCGGCTTTGCATTGTTGAGCGAGATCTCCGACAGCACTGTTTTCTGCGGGTCCAACGGTGTGTTGGTGGTGGTGGGGGATGCCACCACTGCCGGCGGACTCTTCAATTTGGGACTAGACAACCCGTCCAGTTTTTGGGTGAGGCCGCAGGAGAACACAAAGGAGGATAACGAGTGGAAATGCGAGAGCAGGACCATGGCGTGCACCACCTCCGACAGCGACCAGCTGTTCTTCCCCTTTGTGAGCCGCTGAAAAATCATCAAATTTTCAGTGCTCCCCCATTCAGTTTACCAAAATGAAATATGTAACCACCTCGATGTGCTCCTTGCGCAGCAGCCAGGGACGATGGGCTAATATTTTATTGATATCGTATATGGCACGTAGTTTGGCGGGTATAAAGTCCAGGCCGTCCAGCCAGGCGCTATCTCCTCCCTGGTTGATGAACTCCTTCTCGTACCGCTTCACCAGATACGGACACTGATGCCGGGCAGCGGCCTAGGGTATTGGAATAAAGAGGACGGAATGAGAACGGGCAGATAAAATAGTGCCTTACTCAATGCTTTGCTGCCCAGATAGGTTTCCCCTTTTAGCAGACTTAGCAGAAACCATTTTCGTTTGTAATTAAAAGTTTGTAATTGAAAGTTTAAATTCTTAAAATTCTCTTAAAGCTTTGTAAATTCTTCGCTAAATCAACTTGTTTTAAAAAACTTGGAAAGCTGTTCTAATAGAGCTTATTGCAAACATTTTTTGCACACTACTCAAAGTCTGCCTGATTAATAGTAACATGAATATTTGAAAAGTCTTTAATAAAACAAAATAATAATATATTCAAAAATATTAAAAGGATCAGAGATGTTTGTGAATTTTTATATTATCATTTTGTGGAAAGAGGTTTGATGTGGAAATGGAAATTCTCAAATATATTTAATAACACATGTTCCCAATCAATGACCAATTTCGCTTAACTATTTTTTGTGCCGTGAGGAAAGATGATCGGGGTTCAGGTAACATTTTTCTAGGCATTACGTAACTTGTTTTGATCTTCTCGCCCAACCTTGGCCCCCAGCCCCCGCACTTTTCGGTCTGAGACCGGGTGACCCACAATCGAAAATCTCCCAGGGAGCGGGACCTGGGAGAGATTGACTTCCACTATGCCACCACCTGAATGTGTGCTAAAAATATGTGGAAACTTATTTCGATTGCGGTGCGTGTGTGTGTATGTTTGTGACCCAAAACAACAAATATTCGGGCATTCAGAGCAAAAGGCCCATTGTTTGTTTGGCGTTTTGCCTATGGTTTTTTTTTTTTTTTATTATTTTGTTGTTTGTCATTAATGAGACTTGGGCAGGCAGTCAGAATCATGGCATCGTGGCATGCCCTGACATGCCATCGTAAATCTTAAATAATTTTACATTCGCCTAGGCCCGAATCTAGACAAAGGCGTTGAGAGAATCTGCGCTGTTCTGAAGACGACACTTGGTCGCACTACCCTTCCCAAAAAGCATCTCAATTTGCTGGCATGAGTCAATGTTTATTATGTACCGCATCGAATGCGGAATGCCAAGACCCTCGACCGACATGTTTACGATTATTGCACACGCACAACAAAGGCCATAAATTATGTTTAGGGGGCCAAGAAGTAAACTAAAATCTGAGCCAAATAATGCAGAACAACAAACAGAAAACTTGTGAAATAATTGATTAATGCGAATTTGTATTCAAGTGCTTTGGTTTACAATTGCATCTTGGGAAAGTGAATATTAAATAGACATCAGCTTTGTGGATTTGTTTAACTAAGATGCTTGCTTTTTAAGCCAATCGAGTTTACTCTCAAACAATAAACAATCTTTCTTAATCTTTCCGTAGGAACCAGTATTCTTCATTATTATGTATGAGTTCCAAATTTGGGAACGGAAAATTTGATATTTGTATATTTCTACATCTATCTACGATTCTAACAAATTTCGTATTGAATTCTTTTTAAATAAATAAAGTAAGAGCAACCTTTGGCACTAAATGAATTCAATTATTTATTCATTTCAGAATGTAGGGTGTAGTGTAATTATACATTGTTACATTGTTACAATGTTAATTTGTTATTTACCTATATTGATTTTCCTTTTGTTATATTTTAAATGGATTCATTTTTCGAGTATTAAATCTTTGTTATGAATATCCATTCAACTGTGTAATCATAACACAACGTATATTGACAATTCAGGCATTAAAGCTAGGGGGACTTTGATCTAAAAGGGAGATTTAAATATGCATACTGAACCCAAGCATTTTGTCCTTTGGAGCAACATTTTGGGGATGAGAACGTAAAGCAAAGATGAAAGGTCAAGCAAATTTAGATGCCGCTGTGAGTGAGTTTAACTGAGGTAGCCAAAGTAATTTTATGCAATGGAGAGCGACTCCACCTGTTCACTGGTTGTCAATCATATAGTAGTGCAGTTTCTGTTGCAGTTGGGAGCTTATAACTCTGGATTTCCTTTTCAGTTAATGATGTAGATGCACCAACAACGATGGAGTGGTACCAAATGCATGCCATGAAATTGATAAGCCGTAGCAAACGATTATTGGGTTGCTGCACAATGCGCCTTATTCCAGTGGCTGGCCTAAGCCTAGTATATACCCAAACATGGATGGTGAATTCATGTTAAGGGGGATTTCATTTCAGCCCAAATGCATCATTCAGTTCTATGAAGCTGCATAGAGGATTCATGATACGTGTTGTGCATAGATTTCCTAACAAAAGTTTAGCCTAAACAATGCAAAATTCACCCAACCACCACTGGATTTTCTATTCACAGCAGGTATTGCTTTCTATTGGATCAATCAATGGCCATTGTTCTATGCCAGCTTGGCAGAATTGTGAATTTAGAAACAAGGGAAAAACAAAAATATTTCATCTGACTGAAGAGTATAGTTTCTATTTCAGTTTTCATTGAATTTCGAACTGATTACTTTACTCACAATTATGGCCAAATAGTATCTGTAGTCATTAGGCAGCGGTCCGTCTCCTTTCATTATAAAATTCTGGGTGCGCAGAAAGTGATCGTGGAACTGGGGATGGTAGCCAATCACTTGGGTGACCTGATCCAAATCATCCAGTTCATCCATGTCTAGCTCGAATGTTCCCGTTTTCGTTGCAGCGAAACACTGAAAAATAAAACAAGATTCTTTCTTACTCCACTTGTATACTACTGTACTCGATAAGTGTTAAAAATATTAAATGTTTCATAAATTAATAATAATATTTGATCAAGTTTCTTAAAATAATACTTAACTATTTATGTTCACTTTGTTCTACATATTCAAATTATTTTTTAATGCCTTAAGCTTAGAACAAATATTCAAATGATTTTTACAAACAATAATGTTAAATGATTTCAGATAAAAACTAATTTTTTTCCAAAATAATGAATATTTATATTTTTCTGCTTTTAATTCGCTCTTGTGGTTCATACAATTCTTTTTTAATTTTTAAAAAATCCAAAAACCTGATAATTGGTTTAAACTTTAAACTTATTCATAAAAATGTTTGATATTTAAATAAATTTCAATCCTTTCATAACTGAAAAAAGACTACACTATACCAAATAGCTGGAAAAATAAATTTATATTTGTTTTGAACTTTTTCACCTCCTTTGTAATGAATACTTTTGCTACTTGAAATCCCACAAACGCATTGCGTATACGAGATGTGGTCCATGCCATTTGCTAAAACTGAATGAAGCGAGGCATGTGTTAATGAAATTCCGTGCGCAAAACTTTGAAAACTAATTCACTGTTCGAGGCAGAGTTTATGAGAACGAGAATCAGAGCGGTATGCATGACTTGGCTTCTATGCCCCTTGCAGAGCTCTCATTTTCCGAAAATTACAAATTTTGAGGAGCCGTTTTTGTCAGGCAGCACGTATACGTCCAGATGACATGAACATAGATTCTGCATATTTTTCCCTCTAATTACGCCTGAAATGCGAAACCAAAGAGAGACAGGCAGAGAGGCAATTGTACGCATAATGAAATGAGGAATTTAATAAACTTTAACAAACGGGCGAAGGTAAATTGCGTGATGTTGATGCTTCACTGGATTTCCGACACTCATTGTTGTGCATCAATAGCCGGTTACCATAGCAGCCAACCCCTTTTCAATAGCCATTTGACTTGCAATCAGAAAATGCTCCAGCTGCAGCTCCAGGTACACAAGACAATTTGCAGAGCACCGTCTAAACCCATAAGCTTGCCAAAGTAGATTTTCTTGGCCTTTCACTAATTGCAGGGCTTTTGATTATTGCACTTGATCCACAAAGGTATGAAAGAACTCATAAAAAGCCAGCTGTGAGACTGCAAAACTGAATTTAATAATAACTGGTATTTATAGTTTCAGTTTCCAGCTATATGTATGCGATTTTAATTTGCTGATAACAGTAGATTTTCCTGGACAGAATGAGTTCGTATGTATACTCGTTGTGCTTGATAAGGCAACAAAGTGCGATGGAGAGCCAAGAAAAACGGACTGAAAAGGTAACCTAATATATATGCATAATTGGCTGTTAGGTTGTTGGCTAGTCGCAATAAACAGCCCCAGTCCCAGCCCCGATATTCAATGCTAATCATGAATATCAGTTTAAGCTTTAACCTTAGACTCCACCCACTCACAAAACACCAATTATGGGCAGCGATGAGCTCTTGAATTTCAAGTGGGTTACATATAGGCACCCACGCCGCCAAATATGCTTGCTAATTTCATATTTAATCAGATAACTGAACGATTTACTCTGGTCAACGTAAATCACGAAATTCCCCCACTAAATGCCATCACTTTCACATAATTAATTAATTCTAATGCCGGGGGATGTGTCTTTTGGTAGCTGCCACTTTGGGACATAACAAATGTCGAACAACGCATAAACAAGAGTAGCGCTATTAATCAATGTGATTTATGCGTATGCAGATCGAGAAACTAAAACATAGTCCATCGAAAAACCTACTGGCGACATTAAAACTGGCCCGTTACACTTGCTAATTAAAAGGGTTGAGTCGCAGTGATATGCAAATGGCGGCCTGTTGACATTTTCATCATTATGGGTTCTCTTTGGGAATCCATAAATTTACAAATTGGCACACTCACACCCACGCAGGGGGCGCAGAAAGAGATGGGGAAACCCGTTTGGAAAATAAAAACTAGTTTCTGTGACATACAGCACACGACGACGACCCAATCCAGTCCGGGCAGCAGCTTTGAACGGTGCTTAGGCCAAGTTTAATGGGCATGTACACTTATAGTGCATATCCATTTCTGAGCCTCCATATGGGTACACATAGGTGTGTGTTTCTCTGTGCTTTAGTGTGTGCCGGCAAAGTAACATTGGCACGAAGCTTTTCACTGTTTTCTGGCTTTCCATTCCCCCCTTTCTATCTCCACGCCACATTCGCTTGCCAAACCTGTTCGTCTGCCATGGCGTATACGTGATAATTGAATCGTGCTCCCCATGCTGGTGGGTGCATTTCCAAAAACCACCCACTTTGTAAGCTTTTAGGTGTATTAATCGTAGCACTCTGACCTTAAGACTTGGACATGCTCTTGATTTAATTCTAGAAACTGAAAATAATTCCATAAATTCTTTTACAGGGCACATATCGTATTTCAGTTGAATCCCTATCATCAGAATATGAAAACCTGAATGTTCAATTAAACGAAAAGCTTGTTAAAAACAACATTTGGATGTATAAAAAATTGCATTGGATTGCATTTCGCAATTTTGTGTATAACGAGACAAAATATGATTTTTAAACACATTTTATTGATTTTATATTTTTGCTAGCTTCAGTCTGATGTCTTAAATTTTTGTTTGGTATTTATATAAATATTGTTAAATATTACTTAGAAAAATTTGTTCCCTAAATCCTTTATAGATGAATAACAAGTTTTAAGTATCTAAGCCCCCTTCAAAAAAAAATATAAAGTTGTTTATAACAAATTTGTTCTTCCTTTTTTTATCGGTTTACTGTGTCATATTTATTTATAAAGAATTTTTTTTTTCAGATTTAGAATTTATATTTTATATTTCTATATTTATAGCCAACCTAATAAATCACTTGAAAAACACAAAAACAGAAATTTCGACGGAAATGCAAAGAGGCCAAATTGATTGTTAAACAAAAAATAAAAGAATTTGTTAGCTTTCGAATTTCCTGTGAGTGATAAAGGCGTTCATTTAACCCATTGAAACGCAAAGATGAGGCCAGTGGCCGCAATCAATCTGCTGCCGACCGAAGACTTTCCGCGCCAACTGTTAACGTGCGAGATCATGGAGCGTGGCGATTAAAATCAAAGATAATGTAGAACCGCTGAATGCTAATGTTTGCAGTGGGGCGTGAGAAGTGGGAGGCGGCGGAGGAGGCGGAGGTGTGCGAAGTGTTCACCGTACGGTGGGACTGGCAATTTGTATCTGCCGGATGCACGAACGACGCAACTCTTTACGCTCTTCGGCTTATGTTAATTGCTGGCAATTAATTGCTGTAAGCTAATTTTGATTTCCTCTGCTTTTTTTTCGCCAGCTCAAAGTAAGCCAAATTAATAAATTAGCATAATTAGTGGCGGGAATAATAATAAATTAACTGTAATTTCAACTCCGCCCCAAATGACTCTGGAAATTCATTGTCTTTCTGTGGCTCACAAACGCGGTGAGTGTCAACACGGCCCCCAAACAGATTAAAACAAAAGCTGGTAAACAGGCAAATAAATTAGCATAAATGGTAGAATGCTTGCGAGCGAGATAGCTACATTGCAGAGAAAGGGGGAGAGAGCGAGAGAGCCATAGAGATCAAAACAATAAGCAAGTAAACAAGTAAAGTGGAAAAAACGTCAGGTGTTATAGAAATGCAAACTAAAAACAACTACAGCAAAAAAATCTATGAAAATGCGAAACGTGAAATAAAACTATAAGGCATGCAAGTAAGTGCGATAAATTCAAAATAAAACTATTGCAAATCAGATTTATTAAATTTTTAATATTTGATTACAAATGTTATGTATAAACATATGTTTGTTTAATAAAAATATCTGCTTTAATTACGTAATGAGAAATTTTCCAAATCTTAAAAAAAGAACATTTTAATCAAATTCATACAAACAAATATATAATTATTTAATATGGGAAATTATTGTAAAATGCAAGCATAAAAAAATGTATTCAAATTAATGGCATAATAAAAATAACACGTTTTATGATAGCGTACAAATTACAAACTATATAACTTTACTAATAATTATTTTAGTATAGCTATAATATAAAAAGGTTACCCATGTTCAATTAGCATAACTCGTAAATTTTTTTATAAAGAAAGTTTAAGCTATCCATAAAAATGAATTCAAAGTATTCTTGTGAAGTAAAATATAAATAAAGTAAACTCGTTTCTAATTTGATTAGCTATGATTAGCTTGTGCTTTAATAAACCAATTTGTAATCAAATAATCCAGATAGGATGCCTTACGATACTTTCCACAAAATGGGTCATATGTATGATACTATACCCCTTGGCGACAAGATCGGACTATAGCCTGACTATAGCTTATCACTGCCGTACACCTGAGCACTTTATTCATGTGCTGTGTGACTCGAGGGCTACTTACTCATATAGTCAGCCGACAAAAAAATTAAAATAAGAGTAAAAAACAAAGTGCTTGGCTGTGTGCGTAGATAAAGAGACTTGTCTAGACGCGATAAACTATTTATTTCTATAGTTCGTAAAATGTATGAATACTTTCGTATGTGCATATGTATAATTGAATCTATTTAAACGTGCCGTAAGTGTAATATTGTTTTTCAATTTTTAATTATAGTTCATCCGACAAATGGATGGAGAACTATCAACAAAAGCATCTATTTTTTATATATTGGTTTTTAGATTGATTATTTTAATTAAAATGGGACAGTTTGTTGTAAATGCGTTTATTTTCTTATAAACAATTTTTAAATATTGAACGACTTCGGCTGAGAACTATTAAAAGATTTAAATATTACATTAATTAACCTAGATAATTAGCTTACATTAATAGAGCCACTTTACCTTGTGAATAGATACTAAAGAATAAACTCGAAGACCGTTCTGCCTTTACGAAATCTCTTTTGTTTTTCCAACAATCGTTAATATGTATTTAAATCACCGTGTGAGTGTGCGTGTTTTTCTTGGTCTGTGTGGGTGGCGGTACGTGTTTTTCCAACCTCGGATACCTAAATAAAAGCTGTCTGGCACTCGAAGCGACACTTTGTCTGCTGATAAAGTGCAACAACACAACTGGCAACTGGCAAATGGCAAACAATCATGACAAAGTGTGGCAAATTATTGGGTCTACACCAACGTCTGTAATATATATATATATATATATCCACATGTACGCGTGTGTACGCATTAAGTGTCTGCTAATTGTGTCTTTGTGTATATAGCTTCTATATATAGTGAACACTGTCTTCGAAAGATAACACTCTCTGATAAGAGACCTCTTCGAACAATGCAAATCGCAGAGTGTTGTAAGTAAGAGTGTTGGCCTGAGAATATAACAAATGCTGCAGTTAATACACAAGAAATGGGTTAATGAACTCACGACGAACACTATTCTTTGAAATCACATAGGCCTAAATTTAAATATTTTATTATAGCGAATATTTGGTTGACATTTATAAACTTGTGCCAAAAGATTTATGTACATACAAAGTATTGTGTGGCAAACTATAAAATTGACTTTATACTGTTGAAGCCTTTCTAGCTGCGTGTTTTACGCATTTATAAGACGAAATACAATGTAGTCTGCACAAATGGCAATATATTTAAAAGCAGAAAGAAAGAAAAATATTTTGAATAAAAAACAACTAATTAATGCACATAATTTACATATAGTCATTAGTTTTATACCGAAATAATTTTTAAATTTATTTAAGGTTGCTTTTGAATGATAATTTTCGCTGCAGATTTTGTATTCTTCTTTACAATTGTTGTGATATTAATTAAAGCAATTTCAATAAAAGTTGCACGTCTCTGACTTCCGCTATTAAAATTGAGACAAATCATGGACACTTGCTGAGCTGGGTGTCATCAAAGTGCATTTCTGCATTTGTGCTTTTGATTTAAATCAAACCGCGCCATTTACTCAGTCCCTCAATCACTCAATCACTCACTTTTACCACTCAGCCAAAGGCGAAAGCCTTTTTGGACTCCTGCCAGAGTGGGACTGGCGCACATCTGTTTATTTTGATATTGCCCCCATGCCACGGTGACTGACTGGGTGACTGGCACAAGCACAATCCACATACCACCCCCACCGCCCAAAAAAACACCCACTATGCCACACAACCACAATCCCCCTCCCCCCCTTGTGTATTTTTATACAATTTATATTTTCATTGCGTAAATAAAATTCTTTGCCTGCCACAGATAGCTGATGGCCGCTGGCTGTTTATGTTCTTTGTCATTGAGTATCGGGGAATGATAATTAAAATTACTTTTCACTTTGATTCAACTGCAGAAACAAATTAAAGTGCAGTTGCAGAAAGAGATGTTCTATTTATTAATATCCTGTTACAATAAGTTCTACAAGCTAATTTAAAAAAGTATTTCTTTCATTGTTGTTAAATATAAAATTATAATAGATATGTCTGTTGATTGTAAATAAATGGATTTCTTAAAAATTCCAGTGGATAGTTTTATGGCCACACAAAAACCATTTCATTATGAAAACAAATATTTAATTAATTGAATAATAATACACCACCTTGTGGACAGTCCTTTGTGAAAAAGGCTATTTAATGAATAGTCATTATTTATAATTTGTATTAACTTATTGTAAGCTTAATCAATAATTCTTCTATGCAAGTGATAATAACTGCGACTTTAAATTTTAAAGAACAATAAAGTTAGTATTGATTTCTGTTCACATTGTTGAATATCATATACAGAAACGTTAATTAATATATTAGATTAGTTCGAACATCTGGAAACCACTTAACAATGGTCGCTGATTCTATTGGAAAACAACATCTGTCGCTCATTGTTTTTCGCCTAATCAATTAATCCTTCACTTTATATTCTTTTTTCACTATACTCGTACTCTAATTTAATTAATTTCAAGTCGCAATTACTCGACATTTGCATCAATTTCGCTGATTAGCTGACCCAGTTTAGCAATCATTTTCGCAATGAAAATAAAATACCAGAGTCGCCAGCTTTTGTGTTATCTATTTTATAACACTGGCTGGGTCTACATCTAGCCATAAGAGCAATATCAGAAAAAGAGAACAGCAAACATTCCATGCTGGCTGGTCTTATCAAAGGTTTAAAAAAAATTCCACAATCCTTTCCCTCACACTCACTGCGAGAAATTAGTTATTCAAAAGTTGGCAGTTGGTTCGGTTGCCATGCTACTAATAATTTTTTACAAACTCAACAGCGCTATTAATTGGTTTTTTTCCGCATCAACCTTTTTCATTTACATCCACATTCTTCTAACAAAAGTTGTTATTAAAAGGCTAAAACTTTACATTTTTTTGTAATGTATAACATTCCATTGTCGAGAAATTTTCTGGCGCAAAACCAATTCATATTTACAGTGCGGTTTTAAGTTTATTTGTTCTAGCAAAGTTAATTATGTTGCTCTGGAAAATAATTGGTAAGGCTCATGTGTATATCACATTTCAACGTTGGGAAACAGAAGAGAAAACAATTGTTTGCATTTCATCTGCATTTCGGCTTTAGTAAATATTGCAGTGCTATACAACAAAATGATAGAACGAAAAAAAGGTTAACATTTCCCTTACCAAAAATTTAACTACTATATTATTTGGGGAAATGTGTAATATAATATGTAATATAATTACCCATGGACCTGCTTATTAAATCTCTAAATAAATGCTTTCAGAAACTTAATTAATGTGCAGCAACATGTTGAGACCACATTTGTTTTCCTACTTTGTGTCAAATGCGTAAACAAGCAAATAAAACGGAGTGCTTTATAAAAGTTATGGGTTATTAAAACCAAGGCAGTGTCATGCAATCTGCCTAATCAGCAGAAAAAAAGCATTTTGAATAAATATCTCTCTAAGGTACAAGAAAAGATTGTCAATTATTATTTTTTCAATTAAACGTGGAAACTAAAGTTTTTGAGATAATAATATTAATAATTAATATTTCATAATTCAGAAAGTTTTTAACTTTAAAATACAAATATTTTTCCCACATTCTATGCAAACTTAGACCATTAAATTTATAACGAAAAGTACGAATTTTATATCGTTAACCAATAAAAAAGGTACCGAAATCAGAACATAATTAAAATTTGTAACTGCATAGGAATTACACCATCTAGAACTCGTTTCCGGATCTTTTGAGAGCCTAAAAGAAATAGCTTATCAGTGACATGGATTTTACTTACATCTTGAGAGATTTGGCCCATATCCGCGTAGTAATCGACAGCGTAGTACATGAGTTCGGCAGGGAGTACGGGTCCCCAAGTTGGTTATGGATGTGGAATCGGAATCGGAGGTCGCAGTCAGTCGTTGCAGCTCCGATCGAGGTAAAGAAATAACCAGTTTTCGGCTGGCTCTTTGTTTATGGAGCCACAAAAGTGGAGCAGCAGCAACGAAACGCAGCGCCAGCAAACTGGAAATGCACCAAAGGAGGAGGCTCGTCCGCGGATCGGACAGATTTAAAGCCAAACCAGATTTTCTCTTCACGGCTTATTGGCGGCTGTTCAGGGTCTCCAGCTTTTGATTTTGTCAGGGCAATTAAAGTGGGTTTTTGGGCGAAAATCAGCTATCTTCGGTGGGCTGCTAGTCGCTTTCTTTCACTTCCCAATATCAGCCAAGTATCCGAGGTCGAGGATTGTGATTCAAGCACTTGTACGTATGGCTGTGTATCCTCAGTACGTTCTTCTCATCAACAATTGCGATTCCTTGACTCGAGTGACAAAAGCATTGGCAGTTGGTGCTGTTAATGTTGATCTTATTTTTGGTTTTCATTTGTCGGTTTTGGGCTTGATGACCTTTTCACTTTGCACTTGGCAATTTTCCCTCTGGAATCTCAGTTGGTTATTTTGATAACTGCGAAAGATAAAAAGAGAGAGAGAAAAGGTCGTTAGCCAATGATGTCTATTAATTACCATATCATAGCTTCCTACAGCAACAACTCGTTTTAAAGCTCAAATCTTCTTTGCCGACTTCAATTAGCATTCAAATGCCAGTCAAAATATTCAGTTTTTGGTTGCTTTCATTTTTGTTTTTTTCTTTTTGATTTTCTGTGTATTTACCAAGCCTACACAGACAGCGTTAAAATCGCGCAATGCCAAAAATAAAAAGCAAACATCGAGCATCAAGCAAAACGCAGCAAAAAATTGGTAAACAAACAGCGGAGGGCTGCAGGAAATGGAACTGGGAATGGCCAAAACGAGTTTGCTCCTCTTCCTGGGGCAAGGTGAGAGTCCGAACAAAAAACAGAATAATAACAATAATGGAGCGGCGAGGTAAATGCGAAACCGAAATTAATATCAACTGCAAACAGCGCATTTTTGGCAGGCAGATTCAAAGTGACAAACAAATAGCCACGGCAACAGCAGCGGCAAACCAAACAAAAAAAAAAGATATACAAAAAGAAAATGAAAATGAAATACGAAAAACAACAAAGAAATAAGCTTAACAATGGGGTACAACAAGCCGAAACAAGGCATTCAGCGAAATACTATAAACAAATAGGGGATTGGGCTGGGAAAACAGATGATAGAGTTACAAGCCTGGATAATCTTTTGCGGTTTTTGGCCCCGCATCGAGGCAATCGAGACATCGTCATCAAAGCGAATTATATAAACGTGACTCTGACATTGTAGGTGGCTGCACTGGAATAACAAACAAATAATACAAAAAAAAAAGAAATTAACACAAGCCGCTTTTGTAACCCAAGCAAGTTGGCGCGCACTCAAATAACATAAACAACGTTACAAAGTTTCCTATTAATAATTTTTATTATCGACAACGTCATGAGCATACTAAACGCTCCACCGATTCCTAATCCATCAAAGGCACACAAATCGGCTACCAACAGCTGGTCACTGGATTTGTTGACAGATGCGGCTATATACACACGTATGAGACGAAGTGTCGCGTTTTCACTGATTTGCCCAACTAATTAGCAAAAATATCGAAAATAAGTTCGGCCTACTCCAGTCTATTCCAGCACACTCCAGACAGTCGATGCACAGTAAAAAAAAATGCCATGTAAATGTAATTGTAATTAGGTGTTTCTTTAGCGAATTAAAATTGTCAAAATTCAAAACATAAGTTTTTCTTTTCATTGGCAACTTTCTAATATATTCGATATACAGAATTATAAATAGGTGTTTTTGTATAATTATATTTGAAATGAACTTTTCTTGAACAATATATCGAAAATATCTTATTTTAAACTAGTTCTAAGATTGCATAATACAACAATGGAATAAGTGTTGTATCATTTTCTTTCTGTAATATATGTGGAAAAAATAAAAATGTAGGTAAAATATAAATCAATAAATATACCAAAACAAGAAAGGTCTATGTAACTGGAATTTCAATGATTTTCTCTGTATGTTTCTCCGCTTCATCTCAGTCTAGTCTTGAGTGTCTTGTTTATCGTCGGCTCTGTATGGACGTATTTAATTTATCCACTCACACCACTCGCATCGTGAATTATACTATGGATGCTGTAAACGAACTCTGGCGCGGTGTGACATTGAGCGGCGGCCACAATACACAACAGTCGGGGCGTTGACGATGTGTCGCCATGCGTATGAGCGTTATTATCACGTATACGCATGGTAAACACGGTAAACAACATCTTTACCGCCCTTTTTGGGGCGCTATATGGGCGTGCCTGACCATAAAACACTCTTTGCATGTGCGTTGATAATTAAATTCTACCTTACACTGGTCTGTAAGGGATTACAGAATCTGATTTAATTTTGGGAAATGCAAAATAATAAAACATTTATTATTGTTGGGTACAACGGAAGCCAATTAAAGTCTGGTTATGCTTTAGAAAGTTAATTAAGGATTATTTAAATGAGAAAAAACTATGAATTTAAAAAAATAAATCTTTTTTATATATGTTTTTGCAAAGTTACTTAACTTTCAAGAATACTTGTCACTAAGCAAAGTGAAACTCTCAGATACTTGTATGTGACAGAATAAACCGCTAGTCACTTCAACTAATGCAAATGGGGATAACCCGATTTATAACCCATTCATCCTTAATTTCATCAAACGAAACGAACTTTTGGCAGTAGCCTTGCCAACCCTACTTCATCCAACAATGCACAGCTGGAATTCGAAATGCATCCACGAGGCTTTATTCAGACGTCATGGCGTGTCTTTGTGCCTTTTGTATTTCAGACCTTTTTTGCTTTTTGCATCATTCAAGTTACACCCCCACTTGTTCGCAGGTTTAATTGTGGTATGTTTTAAAAAAAGCATTGTGCAAAAATATGTTCATAACCAGAAGAAGAAATCATCTGATTTAAATGCGTTTTGCTGAATTTCGTTTGTTAAAGACATCATTTAGTGTAATTGCATTTTCCGTAAACTTAACATATTTAGGTAGTAAATATTTTATTAAGCCATAAATATAATTTAACTGAGCGTTTAAAGTCATCTTGTTTATTTACTTTTAAAAATTCTTTGGTGGTTGCTATCAAATTTGAAAATTTTCTCTAGGTTTTCTCGCCCATTTGGTGACCCCAACCTTGCCATAATGTGTAACACAGATTGCTGCGCATCCAGGTCGCCAATTGGCAAGCGAATGGCGGCCCGCCGGCTTTTGCAACTGGAGGAAGAGGAGCGCAGGAAGCCCAAGCTGGTGATCCCGACGCCCCAGAGCCTCTTCTATCCATTCGAAGAGGTGGAGGCCATGGCCCAATATGTCATTGAAATCAGTCACATCCGTCCGAAGTACGGTTTAATTTGTGGCAGCTTCTTGGGCTCCATGATCTCACTGGTGGAGCAGCCGGTGGTCATTCCCTTCGAGGATATCCCCAACTTTCCCGCCGGCATTGAACCAAATGGTAGCCTAGTTATGGGCAATGTTATGGGTGCTCCCATAATCGCGCTGGTCGATCGATTCCAATCCTGCGATGGCTTCAATCAGGCCACCTGTGCGCTGCCCGTCCGCGTGATGCAGTTGTGCGGGGTCAAGACCATCATGCTGACCTCCGCGGCAGCCGCTGTCAATCCAAGATACGGCCTGGGCGATATAATGCTGATCGAAGACCACATCAACATTGTGGGCATGATGCATCAGACTTCGATGGAGGGACCAAGTGATCCCCGATTTGGCAGCCGATTCTTTTCAATGGTCAATGCCTACGATAAGGATTTGTTGGCATTGGGTCTCGGGATTGGCAAGGAGATTGGCATTAACAAATTCCTGCATCGTGGCGTTTTCGCCTGCTTGGGAGGTCCTGTCTACGAAACTCTGGCCGAAGAGCGAGCCCTGCGATCAATGGACGTGGATGCCGTGGGCATGTCCTTGGTGCCCGAAGTTCTGGCCGCCCATCATGGTGGTCTAAAGATATTCTCCTTTGTAATTATCAGTATGATGGCAAACGAAAAGCCCGTCGAGGAACCTGATAAGGAAACGGATTCCAGAACGTCCAAAATTGAGGAGGTGTCCTTGGAGGTTCCACCGCTTAGGGTGCAGGCATGTTCCGATTTGATCGGTCGTCTTTTGTACCATATGCACCAAGAGCACTGACGATCGATTCGTCCCGTCCCAAAAATAGATTTCTTGAAGCCCACGCCTTATTTTTTTTTTTTTGTATTATTTGTTGCAGCAAGTGTGTTGCCAACGCGGAAATAGCGACAGGTGCAGCTGTTGCCGCAAATATCAGAGGAAAGAGTTGTGACTACGGTGGTGGAGGGGAGGGGTGGTGCGAGATGTGAGATGGGAAATGTGAGGTGCGAGTGCGCCCGGTGTCAAGCTGTCTAATGGACGCCCCAAATGGCCAGCAATAAAAAGCGCAAAGTGCTTGGATCGCAGCAGAAATTTACAATTTTAGCCATCTGTAAAATACATTTTATGGCAATTAGCAAGGAATGAAACCCGAACTACTTTGTTGCCTTGCGGGCAACACATTTAATTTTACAAAATATTACCCAAAACTAGGCATGGTTTTTTTTACCTTTCCTTTTTTAAAATAGCTTTTTTCATTTTTGTTTCGCTTTATTCTTCAGTAGCAGTTATTTCATGTGTAGGAATGCATTGGAGTAATGGTAATGCCGGATGTGATTCAATTTTATAGAGGCCATTGTACATATGAACTGGAATTTTGATTAGAACACATTGTGGTTTACGGGTACAATAGTGTAAAAAAGTAGATGGAATGTATTCTTCCGGAAATGCGGTAGGGTTCTGCGCTTGCTCCCGGTGTAAATGTGTAATACGTTAATGTCTAGAAGCACTTGCGGTGGACAATGGACGGGCCGGACTCATCGTACTCCTGCTTCGAAATCCACATCTGCTGGAAAGTGGACAACGAGGCCAGGATGGAGCCCCCGATCCAGACGGAATACTTGCGCTCCGGCGGAGCCACAATCTTAATCTTCATGGTGGACGGAGCCAGTGCGGTAATCTCCTTCTGCATTCGATCAGCAATCCCCGGATACATGGTGGTGCCGCCGGACAGCACGGTGTTGGAGTAGAGATCCTTGCGGATGTCGACGTCACACTTCATGATCGAATTGTAAGTAGTCTCATGGATGCCGCAGGCCTCCATGCCCAGGAAAGAGGGCTGGAAGAGCGACTCGGGGCAGCGGAAGCGTTCGTTGCCAATGGTAATGACCTGTCCATCGGGCAGCTCGTATGACTTCTCCAATGACGAGCTGGATGCGGCCGTGGCCATCTCCTGCTCAAAGTCCAGTCCAACGTAGCATAGCTTCTCCTTAATGTCGCGCACAATTTCTCGCTCTGCGGTGGTGGTGAAGGAGTAGCCGCGCTCCGTCAAGATCTTCATCAGATAGTCGGTCAAGTCGCGACCGGCCAGATCCAAACGCAAGATGGCGTGTGGCAGGGCATAGCCCTCGTAGATGGGAACTGTGTGGGTGACCCCGTCACCGGAGTCCAAAACAATGCCTGTGGTACGTCCGGAGGCGTACAGTGAAAGGACAGCCTGGATGGCCACATACATGGCCGGTGTGTTGAACGTCTCGAACATGATCTGGGTCATCTTCTCGCGATTGGCCTTGGGATTTAGCGGAGCCTCGGTCAGCAGCACGGGGTGCTCCTCGGGGGCGACGCGCAGCTCATTGTAAAAAGTATGATGCCAGATCTTCTCCATGTCGTCCCAATTGGTCACGATCCCGTGCTCGATGGGGTACTTCAATGTGAGGATGCCGCGCTTGCTCTGTGCCTCATCACCCACATAGGAGTCCTTCTGGCCCATTCCGACCATCACGCCCTGGTGACGTGGACGACCCACAATCGATGGGAACACGGCACGCGGTGCATCATCCCCGGCAAAACCAGCTTTGCACATCCCCGATCCGTTGTCGATCACCAAAGCTGCAACCTCTTCGTCACACATTTTACTGTAGATTGTTTGGGTTCTTTTGAGGAGATTTGTAAAACGAGTAGCTTCTAGTTATCCGCTGAACAAACTGAGCAGAATAACAAAAAACTGTCTGATTGGATTGACTGACGCCTACTTTTTCGAGGTAAAATGGAATACTCAAATTTTGTATAACTTACAAGTAGAGTCTAAGGTATGTATGTTATATTTTATTCGTTGAATAGTATGGATTTTTAAAGATGTGCATAAAACAAGACTTTTCACATTGCAAACCCTAATTTATTCACTCAACAATGTGAACTATTTAAAAAATTAAAAAAACACATATTAAAAACTAACTGTTCCAGCTCTAAAAATCGTTTTCAACATCAAGAACCAAATTTATCGTGCTTTTGGTGCGCTTAAAAAATATTTTTATTTCAAAATTTCATGAGTTTACTCAATTCTAAAGCTGCTTTTACTTTAACATGAAAGCGAAAACACCCACATATTAGTTTAGTTTATTCATTTAGTTATATTAAGAACAAAGGAATCTAAATGCATACAAAATGATGTAAAAGTATAGTGAAAAGGTATCTGGTAAATTTGTCAACAAGCTAGGAAGTTACGAGCACAATGGAAATTGCACACCTGTATATTCCTTTCAGCCAAGTTGCCGCAGTTTAGCCTTATTTTGTAACGACAATCACAAACTTGCGCTGCGACTTCTTCTTTGTTCGTCATTGTTGCTAATTTTATTATTTGCCATTGTGGCGGTGCAGTAGCAAACGGGCAACGCGATGCGATGCGATGCGGTGCGGTGCAATGCGATGACGAACAACGTTTGTGCTCGCTTATTGACGCTGATTGCTCAGATATAAGTGCATATATAGGGGGGCAGCGATAGCCACGAGCTGTTTGCCTCGCAATTTGTATTTTACGTTTGCTCGTTTTGTTATTTTTTTCAGCTTTTAGCTGTGCGATCACAGGCTAGAAAGCGAGATTTTCCCCGGTTTGCACCGATTTCCCCCGATTGAGATTAGTGCGGCTCGCTCAATGTTTTTGGCCTGTGGCATTACGCTAATGAGTTATTCGCGGCCAGTTCATTGACCCAAACCCGATGCGATGTGTGGTTATTGAAAACGCGTTGGAAAACTGTATGCAATTTGCCACCAGTTCAGAACGCGTTTTATTCCCATCGACTGACTCTCTGTGGGCCAGTTCAGTGCACTGACATTACGATTTAATTTTAAATATCAAAAGCATTCGGGGCATTTGTGCGTGAATATCAGCGTGCCAACAATTGCGGTGCCAGCTGATTCACAGATGCATATCTGCATAGATACAAAGATACGCAAATACATAGTTTTGGCATTTCAATTGCCGCTGGGTGCAACATCTGCCCGTTGTTTTGGCAATTTAGTCGTCAACAGGGCTCTGATCTGCGGCTGACGCAATTTAAATGGCAAGCAGATGCCGACCATTCTGCGAGAAATGCGTCCAATGCTCAATCAACTGACACAGCAAACAAATGCTAATTATAATGGCACGATATAGCACCTAGTTTTTGAAAATCCACCTAATATGACCATTCAGTTAGCTTGTCATTTTATATTTACATTAATTCCATTTCTGTTCAATTAAATGAAACTTTATTTTTCAAAAGCATTTCCATCATGCCACAGTTTCATTTAAACCTTATTTGAGTCCATTATGTCATTGCAAAATAAATCAAACATTGATTAATCAGCAGCATGGAAAATTCAATTTTCACACGCAAAATTACATTTTCATTGTAATATTATTCTGTTGATAAAAGCTTGCAAACCAGCGACAATGCACGGAAAATCAGGCTTATTGCACAATTTTTAACTGTTGCTAGGTTTCTTCCGACCGTCGGTTCTAATCATCTGCCACTATAAACAATTTAAGATTAGATTTTTTCATACATTTACATTCTCTAAATCAATCCAATCAATTTTGATTAAGTCTGCTGATATACTAATAAACTAGGTGTTTTTTGTGCCTTTCGGGAAACCCAAGAATTGTCAGCAAATTAAGTGATTGAAATTTAAATCCTTTTCATTGCATAAATATAATTGAAAATATGTCAATTACATGGTTAAGAAAAGATACAAGAATCGGCAAAAAATATGAAACCAACAATCAACAACTGTTGATAAAAATCATTAAGAGCAGAGGAAGTTTACCGCTTGGATTACATAACCTTTGGCTGTAGAACAAACGAATATCCCCCTGGGTTTGAATCGTAGGAAAACGACATGGAAATTACTCAGCGTGTGTGTGACTACTTGTAATAAGGAAAAGTAGAAAATTGCACAAAATAAACGGCAAACTAACTAAGACGGACTGCGTTGCAGTTGGTATTGTTGCTGCTGCTGTTGCACTTGTTGGTGTTGCTGTTGCATTTGCTGTTGTTGCCGCTGTTGAAAGTTCAGTAACCTCGTTTTGCGCCCATAGAAGTGACTATAATTTAAGCAGCAGTCGTAGTGTAAGTAGTGCACAGAAAACAAGTATTACTATTTTTGAACTAGATCACTATTTAATATCAATTCAGTGATTGTATAAATATTAACACTTAAACGTTTATTTTCGGATGGTTAATTATTACGTACTTAACTTAAGACCTTTCAAATCGGGAATATTTAAAAAAAATATCGGGTCAAAGTTTAAGAAATTTTAAGATAATTTAAAACTTTTGATATTTTACAAACGTCAATGTAACAAAGTATATTTAAAAAAATTTCATATTTAATATATATAAATATAAGCTTTTACGTAAATTGACATTTCTTACACTTTTGAATCATTTTCAAACAATGACCAATTTTCTTTCCGTGGGGATGTTTTTTTTTTAACTGAATTGAAAAGCATATTTAACAAAATGGACCCTGGTCATTGAAAGGGTCTTTGGTCCTGTATTTAATCTAAAATGACGATTGTGGGCGAATTCGCAGAACGTTTCAGTTGATTGTACTGCTCGAAAGCCGCTTAAAATTAATAGCAACATTGAGGGGGGGAACACGTATCAATTGGCCTCTCTGCCGGCGGTTCAAGTGATTTCCCATCACACACACAACAATGGCCAACAAGCACAGGCAAACAGCAATCTTAATGCGCCTGGCAACAGCGAAACAACAGCAACATCACCGGACCCGCGAGCAACAGTTGCTCGAGTGCACTGTGTGCGTGAGTATCTGTGTGCACCGTGGCCGTGTGTGTAGTATCTGTGTTTCAGCGCGTCGACATAGCAACCGTTTATCATAATTGGCATTAACTGCCAACCATTCCTCAATTCTTTTCGGCTCGATGCATTACGTATACGCCGCGATGGTATCAAAAAGAATTCACTTCCGAACATGGATTTTAATTTATAAGCTCAGCATTTCATTTATTTTTATGTCTGTTTTTTTTTGCATATTACGTTAATGTCGGTGTAATTAAATATTTCATCAGATGGAGTTGTGTAATAATAACAATCGACAATCGCGAATGTATGACCACAATGTACGGTGTCAAATGAAATTCTGTAAATTAATATCTTACTAATAAGCATTCATTGACCAAACAAAATAACATATTTATCAGCGAATGTTTAACAAGATGCTAAATTATTCGTGTGATTACTTAAGTTTTAAAGCCTGATAAGGGGAAGATGCTAGAGCAGCAACAGAAGATTGATGAAATAGCCCAGACAAACGAATAATGTAGACGGTAAACAATCGAAAGCAACAAAGTGAATAAATGCCTTTAGCAATTTACCAAAAACTGCTGTATGAAGCAGAAGACTGAAGCAAAAAGAGAGGGAGAAACGCTCACCGAACATGCTGCTTAATTTAGATTCTCGTGCGGTAGGTCAAGTGCCAATTTCCTCAACTCGAATTGTGTGGCCAAAGCAAATCAAAGCCTGTAAAAATTGAATGAGAAACACCCGACCCCAATTGACAGTCATTCCATTTGCTTCCCTTTCCTTAAATTTTCAACTCGCCAAATCGTGTTCTTTTTTGCCCAGTAACCTGTTGAAGCCTTAACAGCCAGTCAATCAGAAAAGTCTCTGCCCCTCGCTGAAAAACGAGAAGAAATACTGGCCAACTAACCGCAGACATCACATATGGCATCTGCCAATGCTTTTGGGGGACTTTCAGATGCGGCACTCCGAACTAATGCCAGCAAATTGAAACAGAATCGAAAAGTAAGCTGCGAGTCAGTCCCGGATTTCTGCACAGCAAAAAATAAGAACGCTAGTTACATTTTAATATAAACATTAATTTATGTAGCATACAAATTTAGCAATAATTTCTAGGTTGGCAAGGCTCATCGCTAAGTAAGAAGCGAAAACTCATGATAAATTATTCTCCTCTGTCAAGTGTTTTTTCCGTGGTAGAAGTTATGTTGCTCACCATATTGAATTTAGCTTTAAGATTAAAATATATAAATTCTCAAAAAAGGTAAATTTTGTATACTTTAAACATTATTTTCATATGAAAACAACAAGCTGGACCAACTATCGAATTTTTCTCTGTGTCTCCTTTTTTTGCTAAAATTGTTGGTCCTGTTCCAGCTCTAATGGAACCATCCCGTTTGGCCTGAAAGCCTCTTACTGGCATCCCAATCCTCAAAGTACATTTATATGTACAATTTGAAAAGGGAGAGCCTATAAAAGGTTGTGAGAAATGCAAGGATATGCCAATGATGAAATTTCGAAAAAAAAAATGTTTAGAAATGGGAATAATTTTAAAAATAGAAGAGGGCTTATCAAAAAGTTTTAAACTAATAAAAAGAAATGTCAACTAAAAAATTATGAGATATTTTGAAAAAATGACTTACCCTTTGCTCTCTGTATTAAAACTCTCTTCATTTACTTAAACGGGATAATTGTAATCTCTTGAAATTTCGGTTCATTTAATTAAGAGACTTATAGGGAGTGCGCACACCGTTACTTTTCTTTTTGAGTTTGTCCTTTAAAACGCCGATATAGCGAGTTCTTTTACTCTCCGTTCTCCCTTGTTTTTTGATAACACATCACATAACATATAGTAACTAATTGCAGTCTGTTTTCCCCTGGAAATCGGCGAAGGGGATGGGTTCCAAACATAAAACACGAAAAACTGTGGATGAAATATTGTTTTGATCAAAAAAACGCTTTCGAAACGAAGAGCTAATGAAAGAAATAGTTGCGCGGGTGTGAAGCGACATGGGATTTCGCTCGTTTTCATAAATAATTCTTGTCCGATTTTTTGATTTACGCTCTGGCCCACTCATTAATTATGTAAGTTGAACGAAATTTCCCTCCCAAAACAGAAAAACCGATTGCATTTGGCGCGAAAAAATAGACAACAGCAAACACAGATAACAATAATAGTTTATATTTAAATTTGAACCGCAGCAGCAGCAACAACAATGGCCAGCATCGTTTAATTTGTTTACGCGGCTCGAGTTCGTTGTTATTCGTCTATGAGGCCAATCTAATTTATGCTCTGCCTTGTTGTTGTTTCAGTTTTGGTTTTGATTTTTTAGTTTGTTTTTTCGGATTCAGTTGCTTTTTTTTGCTTTATTGGCAGTTGCTTTTGCAAGAAATTTGTGTAGTAATTTTCCATGCAATAACAATGATTTTCGCTTTTTTGTCAGTTTTTATTTTTGGCGCTATCTTTGCCGCCTGCATTTGCTTCTTGTTTATTTCTTCTTTGTGTTTACACACGTAACGTTGAAAATTACCAGAACTAACTAAATAATAAGAACGAACCGAAAGGGTAAACAAAATAAAAACGGTTATCCGATGTTTTTCGGAGTTTTCTGATTTCCCGCGATCTTCCGCTGCGTGTGGTGTGGAAGGGGGATATCGGCTGTTTATTATCGTTTATTTTTGGTAGCTAATCTAGCTAGCCGGACAACCGAACGCGGCCAGCGACAAACTTCAACTGAAACGAAACCAAACGAAACAACCGAAATCCACTGCCGATACAGCTGGTATCGCAGCCCCCAGTGCAACAACAACATCTGACGTCGACAGAGAGCCAAAGAGCACTCGGCACGACACACTGTGAAAAAATAGGGATAAACACAAGAAACTAATTCTTTTGATTCAAACTTATGGGATGGGATGCCACAAAAAATCTAGACTTTTGAAATAACTTAACAATTTGTAAAATAGTATGCAAAGAAATATTTTAAGTAAGTCAAAAATATCTTAAAATGCAAAAAATATGTTGTTTGATTTTTGTACAAAAAGCAATAGCCTTATTTTTAATATTGTTTTTCTCTATATAAGCTTATTACAAACAAACGAGCGAGAGGGAGAGAGTGCGGGAGAGCAAATGTGAGGGACAGAGAGAACACACTTAGCAGCAACAGGCAAGCACCAGTTAAATTGCCCGGCGGGGGCGGGGGAGTGGCTCACTAGGCGCATGAGAGATATTTGCCTGACTTTTTGTTGCTTCTGTTTTGAGGCTTTGTTGTTTTTGCCGTAGCTTTTGTTGCATCTACTTTGTTGCTGTTGTCAAGGGTTACCCTGCATGCAATGTACCCTACAAAAAAGTATGATCAATCATGATCCGCGGAGGTAAAGTGGTTGGTTTCGGTCGATTGAATAATTGGTTTTTTAAGGATTAGAATTCCAAAACTGAATGAAAATAAAATGGAGAAGAGATTTAAAATCACTTACAAAGGCGTCTACAATAAGCTGCATTACATTTTAAGCCCTTAAGGTCGTTGTGTAAATGCCAAATATCAACATCATGTCTCATAGCCTACTGTAAGACTCCTTTGGATTATCATTAAGTCCTTATGGAGCACACATTTTTTTGATGTAAAATGTAATTTTTTTGTTTATGGTATACGTACCTATAAAGAGTATTTAATATGTTTTCTCTGTTTCCTCTTTGTAGAGTACTCCCCAAAAGTTATAGACCTAATCAAAATGTACAGTTGTTTTTCTGTGTTTGCCGTCTCTTCTTTTCATATATATTTTTTGTCCAACATATGAAAAGAGCACATGGAAAGGCAACAATAACAACCATTGACAACGAAGCGACAACAACGACGCTTCAAATGATTGAACTCTTAAATGGCTGAGGCCTATAAAAACTGGGTGTGAGTGTGAACGAGGCAGTGTTGGTGGATGCAAATGTATGCTCAGTTATCAACACTTTTTAGTCGCCCGCCCTCCTATCTGGCCCCCTTTCACTATTCCACCCCCCTCACTTTTTCTAGCGATTCAATACAAAGCAAATAAAAGCAAAGAGTCCACAGTCTTAATTCTGTATCTCGAACTCACCAAAAGATTGAATTCTCTTGTTAAGGTGTTTGAAAGTATGCTATTTAAACCTCTTCCATTTTCGGTATAGCCCAAAATAATAAAAGATTTACAAAAAATTAAAAAAAAAAATCGCAAGCTTGCTGCAAAATAGGTTGATTTTAATGGGCTAAAACAAATTATAGATTTGGGGAACTTGAAATTTGAATGTGCAGAATATCTACTGTATATCAACCTCGGCAAAAGATGTCATAGAGACATGGCCCTGGCTTTGTTTACTCTATAGAGACATTTTCCGGCTCGAATCGCCGTATCTGCCTTGCCCTCCTCCATCCACCATTATTTCTCTTAAAGTATCATGCGAATTCAGTAAGTGGCGGCGATAAATAAAGTGCCCGTCCCCATTTTTATTTAATAGCTAAATCGTGAGACAATAAAATGCAAAAGCAATGAATGCGATGGGAAGTGAAATTAATAATCACTCGAGTGCAAAGTACTGTTCGCCACTATTATAGGCCGAATGCTGGGGATTTGCATTAGGGCAGGGAAAAACGCTTATCAGTAATGGGAGCAACAGCAGCAGCGGCCTGATAACAGGGCTGATACCAAAATACATTCGTTGTGGCCGTGTGCGTGCCTATAGATTATTATTATTATTGATTAATAAACAATTTTCTCACTCACACAGAAAATAACTAAAAGCTAGAGGCTGTATTTATGTATGGTTGAGTGTCCGCAAAAGGCGACGCGACCGATAAGGAATGACCGATTTAGTTCTATAGTTCATAAAGCGATAGCTAACATCAGACTCGATTGACCCACAAAGATGATGCGACAAACATGAAAGGCATATGTTCACACTTATAATTAGTGTTTGTACCGGGGTCCAAAAAAAAAGAACACAGATGATTCTAATAGAGCAAAGTGGGGGATGACTTGCAAAATAATTTAGTGACTTAGGGCCCGTTTTAAATTCAAATCTATCACAAATTTAAATATACCTAAAGTGTGGCGCAAAAAATTATATAACTATTATTTACATTATTAGCATTTAATTTCCTATAATACTATTTATTATTGTTTGCTGAAATCATTAAACGGTCATGAAAATATTATCTTTCTATATCTAAAATACTTTCAATAAACTTTATAATAATGAAACAACAAAATCTATCACAATTCTTTCTTAAACCCTTCCTTTAAAGTATTTAAATTTGCACTGAAAACATTTGAATAAGCTTTAGTTTATTTCGAGATAAAGAACTATTTCAAATTCGTTAATAAAGATGTGCTTGTATGTCCAATCAATTTTGGCATAATTGATAGTCATCAATACGTCGTTGATATGTAAAACATGTTTATTTTATACTAGCATATTGATTTCTGCAATTAGGGAAGTATATCACTGGCTGAAAACATGATAATTATTTGTATTCCGATATTTCGCAGCAGAGCTTACGGTTTTATTGAAATGCAATTATTTGTATTCGTATTTTGAAAAACAATGTCGCTGGCAAAAATGCGTTATTGAATTCCGATTCGCACAGGACACGGGACTAAATTCCTGTAAATTGTTTTTCTTCTTTTAAGTTTTTCCCTGTTCGGATAATTGCTGGAAAATCTGTGTTTCACCTGGCTGATTGGAGAGGTAAATTGCGAGGAAGAAGCGACGGCATCGCATTCATGGCGACTTTTCTTTTTTCCTTTTCCGAGCAAACACGGTGCAGCGGACACAATTAACAAAACATGGGGAAAAAAAACCGTATGACACGGCCGGAAAATAGGGAAAAAATTCGCATCCGTGGGCTAACATTTAATTGGCCAGTGGGTCCTGGAAGGATGTGAAGTCGGTGGTGGGTTAAGTGTGGTTGCGACTGCGACCATATCAGTTGTAACCCGATAATCGAGCTGCGTTCGCATGAACACACAGGCGACCGTTTCACCTGGATTGGGTTACATCGTTTGCCCTTAGCAAATACATCTCAGCGATGCGTTAAACCGCTGGAGCCACCAAGCCCACCCACTTTGTGCACCACATCCCACTATTTGTTATTCCGATGACGATGACGTTAATCTGCCTCGCAAATTGTCCACGAGCTGATTGGTTTTTTACCTGTTGCGCACTCCCACCTGCAAATCAGGTAACCCAGCCCCGGGGATTTCAATCGAATCAAAGCATTCAATGCATTGGAGTGCAGCTAATTACTTCATGTTTGTATGTTATGTTTTATTCCGCCCACGGGCCTAACAACGTCCATCGAAGTCTGTAACATTAATTCAAAATAAGCTTAAATAATAAATGACAGCAGGGATGTAAGGCTGCAGCTAATCATCAAATATGTGGCATTGCATTTCACTAATAAAATGGTCGTTAGCAACGTTTTTTTTGCATCGAATGTTGAAATTTTTAAGGTAGTGAAATTCAACTAGCAAAAATGCGTTTAAACAGTCATAGAAATATTTAAATGTGGATGTGTGTGTAAGTATTTTCCCCACTTATTCAATAATCCATCCTATATTTACATGACCAGCTAAAATTTATATTTTTTGACTTTCGGAGTGACAACGTTTTAGAACCATGTTTTGTAATTTTATATATATTTAAAATCCTTCAGGTATTAGACTTTAAGTATTGACTTGGTATTTAAATATTATAAAAACTTAAATATGTTTTAATAAAGTAAATTATTTCTTGTATTTTGTTTTTTTTTTATAACAGATAATTTTCTAGCCGTCTGTAAACTAAGTTGAAAATTATTAAGTTGCTTATTTTATTGTATCTCTCAATTTCTGGCGCTCCAAAGTTAGAAAACCCAAGATAATCACAAATACATAAACTTGAATTTGTTCTATTGTGGAGCGGAAATAAAGTAACCGGAAATAGTGGCGCCAAGCCGAGATACATGTGTGTTCGTTTTTAGAACTATAAATTTAAATTTTCCGATCAATCGATAAAATTCAAATTTCCTATGGGATATTTATCGATAAGAAGCGCAACAGCTGATTTTGATAGTGCCGCCCTGGTTGCGTGGATGTTTCGATTTGAGTTGAATTTTAATTAATTTTCGCCGGTTATCACTGAAATGGCCCCGCCAAAGGCCGCCAGCCACCGTCCGGCGGTGCGGCGCAAGAAGTCCGGCAATTTCGTGGACTCCATCCTGGACAAGTACCTCAATGTGCGGTTCTTCAAGTACCTCATCTTGGAGCCGGCCGCTTTGCCCATAGTTGGACTTTTTGTGCTTCTTGCGGAGGCCGTCATCAACGTGGTGGTCATCCAAAGGGTTCCCTACACGGAGATCGACTGGGTGGCTTACATGCAGGAGTGCGAGGGCTTCCTCAACGGCACCACCAACTACGCCCTGCTCCGCGGTGAGTTTCCGTTCCGGGTTTATTTTTGGCGACAGGTGACCCCATTTCGTGGTCCCTTTTCCTGCACCTGTTATCGCTTGCGCGCGTTTATGCGACTGATTTATCGCAAATACATTTATTTTCTTGCAAATTGAGGAACTTTTTTTTAACATTTAAATCTAATTCGTAAAACTTCTTAGTAATATCTTTTTTAAAACTGATGGGACATTGTTAAATTTTTACCACTATAAAGGCTTAGGTAACTTTTGCGATTATGGTTACATTTCGATAGTTTTAGTTTTGAATAATCTTTAATTCAAAATAAGTACGTTCTGCATAACTTTGCTTAGAGATGCAATTTATTTTTTTGATGATTACCAGTTTAAAATTCAATTTAAAATTGCATAAACGGTAAATAGACGTTTTATATGGAAATAAAACATTTAAAAAAACATTTTTTTTCTTCTATACTTGTTATAAAGTAAACTGAATTGTAGAATTTAAAGTCAACTGTTAACGAAATGGGAATTTAGGAAAAACTAGCCTTTTCATTTCATAAAAAAAATAGGAATTCATAATAAACTATCTTGTGATGTTCGATTGACGGTCAATTTGGTTTATTCATCTCGAACCGACTTGTATTTGGAATACACACTCCATCGGTTCCCGCCCCGAACTTAGATTAAGCAACAATAACGTGCGTTAACTTAGACACTAGCAAACAGAATCGGCCATCAATTTGCCAACGACTGTCAGTTGAACATGGACTTGATTTTGTTTATGAAGCCTCCGCCGTCGCCTTGTCCGGATCCGAATCCGCCGCCTTCTTTCGCTTTGGTTTCTTCTTGGTCCGCCCGCTGGCCTTTGCCTTTTGTGTCTGCTGTTCCTTCTCCTGACTTGGAGGATCCTGATTCTCCAGCCGAGCTGGCTGATCCGCCAGCTTTTCCGGCTCCTGATCCCTCACTCGCTCCTGCGCTACAACGAGAGATTGGGGGACAAAGAGAAAGAAACCATAATTTAACATAGTTCGCACATAAAACGCACGTATATTTTAACTACGAATTCAAACTCCAAGGTACATTTAGAGATTGCATTGGTAGGTCAGGAGATTATTTACGTTGCTTTCTTACTGCCATCTTTGCGATGCGTGATTCCGTTGATCTGGCCCGGAGTATCCTCCTCCAGCTCGGCGTACGCCTCAATCAGATCCCGTCGCTCCTTGCTCAGTTTCCGGCTATCCGGCACCGCGATCTTGATGTGCACATAGTGATCGCCGTGTCCATGGGCATTCACCCGCTTCAGTCCCTTCCCGCGCAGCAGTATTTTGTGATGCGACGAGGTGCCCGGCTCCACGTTGATCCACTGGTCCTCGTAGACGCCCTGAACGCGAACAGTGCCACCGAGCACCGACTGGGCTAGGGAAATGGCCGTGTCCGTGTGCACATCGGCGCCTTCGCGGCGGAAGTAGTCGCTCCGCTCCACGCGGAAGGTGACGAACAGCTCCTTGCTGCCCACCTGCATGCGCACCGTCTGCCCGTTCTCAATGCCGGCGGGCACCGGAACGGTGACCTTCCTGCGCTGGACCGTGCGGCCCTTGCCCTCGCACTCGCTGCACGGATACTTGATGTGCTGCCGCGTGCCCTGGCAGTAGCGGCAGGTGGAGCGCATCACGAAGGGGCCCGTGGAGACCGTCTCGAATCCGGTGCCGTTGCAGTATTGACAGCGACCCGGTTTCGTGCCCGGCTCGCACTTGGAGCCGGCGCACTTGGGGCACTGGTCCACCACATTGACGTTGACATCTTTGTTGACACCGCGGGCCGCCTGGGCGAAGGTCAGGTCCATCACCATCTCCTGGGCCTGTCCGAAACCGAACTTGGAGTCGGCGAAGTCGTCGAAGCTGTTCGATCGGAAGTTTCCCTCGCCGAAGATCTTGCGGAACAGCTCCTCCGGATCGATGCTGGATCGGAATTGCCAACTCTGCGAGAAGCCCTCGGGTCCGAAGCCACCGGCTCCGCCGCCGGGGAATCCTCCGCCCTGGCGACCCATGTTCTCCGCCGTTTGGCCGTAGGTGTCGTACTCACGGCGCTTCTGCTCGTCGCTGAGGACCTCGTAGGCCTCCGAGACCTCCTGGAACTTGCGGCCCGCATCCGGATCCTCCTTGTTGGTGTCCGGATGGTACTTCTTGGCCAGTTGGTAGTAGGCCTTCTTGATGTCCTTGCCGTTGGAGTTCTTGGCCACGCCGAGCGTTTTGTAGTAGTCCTTGGCCAGGAGATTGCGAGTGGTGTGCAAGCGGCGGGCTTGGTGCTCCGGATTTGCCGGATTTCCGTTCCTCGGCGGCTGTTGCCAAACGCTGGAGAGGCTTCGGTAGGCGGTGGCACTGGGCGTGGAGCATGCGGCGGCCGCTAGACAGCTGCGCACCGCCGGCAGTTGCCGGAATACGAATAAATTTTTACACGAAATCAACATTTTTCCATAAAAGTATCAGTTTTTCAGCTAACATGCCGTAACCTCCATGCTGCTGCCCTACGAATGTGCTCTCTCTCGCTCGCACCTTTGCTCGGTGTTCCTTTCCCGTTGACGTTTTGACAGTCGCCCCGACGCGTTGCCCGTTACGTCAGCCGTTCCGTTCCCACCGCTTGCCATTCGCAGCGCATTCGCACAGCTGATTTTGCATTTGAATCTAATGTGTAACGGCCACGATTGGCGGCTTGTGAACAAATTTAAAACGACTTTACTTTTCTCAAAAGAGTGAGGATGAAACACGATTTCACTTTTGTAGAATTAAATGTCCCGAATACAAATTAGATTGTAATAAAACCATAAATTATTATTTCCATCAAATTAGTTTCCCAAATTATATTATCACAGCAATTCAAACCACAATGTACTGAAATTACGGATCGGTGGATAAGTCTTGTAAAAATTATAAATTTAGTACTTTTAAATTTTCTAAGTCTTCAACCTCACAGAAAATTGTTTAAATAATAGACAACAATTTAAATTTAATATTAATCATTAATAAAAATAAACATATAAATTTATCAATACTATTTATTAAATTCCGTAGGTGACACCGGTCCCCTTGTGTATCCGGCTGCCTTCGTCTACATCTACTCGGCTCTTTACTATGTGACTTCCCACGGAACGAATGTGCGCCTGGCGCAGTACATCTTCGCCGGGATCTACCTGCTCCAGCTGGCCCTGGTGCTGCGGCTGTACTCGAAGAGCCGCAAGGTTCCACCGTACGTGCTGGTGCTCAGTGCCTTCACCTCGTACCGCATCCACTCGATCTATGTGCTGCGACTCTTCAACGATCCCGTGGCGGTGCTCCTGCTCTACGCCTCCCTCAATCTCTTCCTGGATCGTCGATGGACCCTGGGCAGCACCTTCTTCAGCTTGGCGGTGGGCGTTAAGATGAACATCCTCCTCTTTGCTCCTGCTCTTTTCCTATTCTATCTGGCTAATTTGGGTCTCCTGAAAACGATCCTCCAGTTGGCCATCTGTGGAGTGATACAAGTGCTGCTGGGAGCTCCTTTCCTGCTCACCTATCCTGTGGAATATCTCCGAGGAAGCTTCGATTTGGGCCGCATCTTCGAGCACAAGTGGACGGTTAACTATCGGTTTCTGACCAGGGAGATCTTCGAGGATCGCTCCTTCCACCTGTCGCTATTGGGACTGCATTTACTGCTCCTTTTGGCCTTTGCCAAACCCACCTGGACCTTTTTCCAGAGCTATGTGCGCCTGCGCCGCGTTGAGGATCAGTTGCAGCCGCAAATAGCGCAGCAGAATCGTGAGATGAAGGCGCAGAAAAAGTTGAAAAAGGCGGAAAAGGACAAGGATCAGAAGAAGTTTACGGCCGAACAACAATCCTTCCTGAAAGCCTTCGAAAAGAGCCTGCAGAAGGCATCCGGAGGGAAGGGAACACCAGGTTCTGCCCAGTCGGAACCGGAGCGCTATGGCATCCACTTCGATCGCTGCACCCAGTTGGCCCTGCTCCCATTCTTCGTGTGCAACCTGGTGGGCGTGGCCTGCTCCCGATCCTTGCACTACCAGTTCTATGTGTGGTACTTCCATTCGCTACCCTATTTGGCCTGGTCCACGCCTTACTCATTGGGAGTGCGATGCCTCATCTTGGGACTCATCGAGTACTGCTGGAACACCTATCCAAGCACAAATCTATCCAGTGCCGCCCTTCACTTCACCCACATCCTGTTACTTGCGGGTGTGGCCAAGCAACTCATCCAGACGATGCGACTGAATAGTGCGGTCAAAAAGGACCAACAGGAGCAGCAGAAGAAGGTTCAGTAGGAGGAGGAACTTACTAGCCACGAGTGCCACTTAAAAATGTTTTGATTATGCCAAATAAAAAAAAAGTGTATTAAAAACCCTTACAGTCTAATTATTGTTGTGGAAATATAGGACATTATAGGATATTTAATGTATCTTTAGATTCTACATCCATAAACCATAATCATTTCAATAGCTTAGCATTAAATCAAACAGACAAGTTGAAATTGATTTAATTTTATTTGGGTACGTTAGTCTTTTGTATGGGTGCTGTACAAATGGCGGGGAGTTGGTCACCAACTCGTCCCGCGATATTTGCAACCTAGTATCTACATAAAATAACTTAAACAATGTCCGCTTAAAACTACAAGTGCAATAATGGTGCTGTGACCTCCTTTTTGAATGGAAAAAGAAGCGTGAGGCCCCGCGTCAATCGCTGCCCACCGCCGTTGTGGGCGTACGCAGGCTTAGGGGCGTGGCAGCGGGAGCAGTCACAGGAGGAGGATTTGGGGAGGTTGGAGCCGCTGTCGCCGTCGTGGCTTCTTCCGCCGGCACACTGCTGCTCCGCTGGATGCTAAAGAATCGTAGGAGTGTCGTCTCGCTGTTTCTCCTACTCGAAGTTGGTGTTCTTGGCTGAGTTTGTGTGTGGGAATGGGAGGAGTTGCCAGCGGGTGTGCCACCGCCTGCATCCGTATGGGAAATTCGCCTGCGGGGCGTGGCCTGTAACCGCGGACTGCACTCGGATTGCCGTAGACTTTGGAGTCGCGGCGATGCCAATACATCCGCCTGCTGCTCCTCGCTGATCTTATCGCTGAGCGTCACATGTGCCCGCCCACTCATCAGCTTCTGTTTCCGGATGTTCGTCAGCCAGTCCACCTTCTCCTTGGCCTTTCGCTTGGGCGACATGATGCCCAGGTGCGGTGCCTCGCCATCCACCACGAAGTTGGGCAGGTTGGAGGTGGGCGAGTAGATTAAGGCGGAGATGGGCGGTGGATTGGTTGCTTCTGCCGCCGCTGCTGCTGCCGCTGAAGTGGTTGGCGGGGAGGTGTACATGTGGTTCACATTCTCACTCAATGGAGAATGACTTGGCGTGCTCAGGATCTTGGGCAGAGGCGATACATCCTCCGCCGCAGAGTTCTCCTTTTGGCGTTTGCTTGGGGAGGCCTCTTCTTCGTTTATGGGCTGAAGTTGTATGTGTCGGCAAGTGGATTCCTGGTTAGAAGGTCCGAAGAGCCGCCGGCCACGGGACTCCAGCGGCTTGGCTCGCTTTTGGGGCTGCTCGGTGGCTTCCGTCTCTCCACCGGCCACGCCCAGCATTTCCAGAAAGGAGCGTTTGGTGGTCGTCTTTTCCACAGAGCCTGGAGTACGTTCGTTTTGATCCATCAGACGCTTCAGTGACCTCGGCGTGGACTCCAGATCTCGCAAATTGTACTTGTGATTACCACTAGCAGGTCCAGCTGTTTTCCTTCCGAATTCCCTTACATAGGAGGCAGTTCCTCTGTACTTTTCCACCCGCTCCGCCTCACTGAGGCCATCTAGATCGGGACCAATGCGCCATATCTTGTGTCGCGCATCATCGCTGCAGGTGACAATGGGGCAATCGTGACTGGAGCCCCAGGCCACGCAGGTAACTTCCACTGTGTGGCCTGATAGGGCCACCAGCGGCTCCTCCGCATGATCCAGATTCCAGATGTAGGCCCGCTCGTCGCTGCTTCCGCTCAGTAGATACTTTCCATCCGGGCTGAGGCAGGATTTGATGTAGAACGTGGAGTTCAGCAGACCCTTGTAGCAGGCCAACGGGCGGGGCGAGTATGAAGCCAAGTTATAGCAATAAATGGTGTTGTCCATACAATTGGCATACAGTTTCGTGCCGGAAGCGTCCACAATGAGGTTGGTGAATCCGCGGAAGGTGGAGTGACCGGCATAAGGTAACTTGTGTCTGGGCAGTGGCTCCTTTTTGTAGGCCGTATAGTTCCGCCGCAGGTCCCAGACTTTGATGACTCCATCGCCGGCGCCACAGGAGATCAGCGTGTCGTTATCTTGGAAGGCCAAGCCTGTGATGCTGCTCGAGGTGGTGCCCCCAGCCATTTTGGGTGTGCGTGTGCGTTGCTTTCGCTGGGAAACAGGTGTACCCGGTCCACCCGTGTGGCCGCTATAGATGCAGTTGTCCACGCGCGACGTGAGGTCCATGTTCAGGTTGGCCCTGATGTCCCAGATGAGAATGGCGCCATCGCGGCCACCGGTGGCAAAGACAGCGGGATCGGTGCGCTTAAAGGCAGCCGACTTGACGGATCTGGTGTGGCCCACATAGGAGTTCAGGCCACGGATGCCAGAGCCGGCTACTTCCCACAACCTGGCCGTGTGATCTCCCGAGGCGGAGACGAAGCGCATCTGGCCGGGGGCCCACTCCAGATCGAAGACCGCGTTGTAATGGCACTGGGGACCCACCAGGGACTGCTCCTCCGGCTGGTGATTCCGCTGCGTGGTGTCCTGCAGCGTGATCTTGCCGTCCTCGTTGGCAATCGCCAGGATGTGCCGGTAGCCATCGCAGTTGGCAAACTTGGCGGAGAAGATCGGTGGCTCCGGATTGAAGTCCGGGCAGTAGTTGGCCGGTGCAATGCCCCGCCAGCTGTCCTCCTTGGCGACGGAAAGGCGACGCAGCGCGAAGTCGTAGGTCCTTTCGTTGGCTGCGGAAAAAAACGAAAGGGAAATTATGAAACTAGTGCCGTGGCTCTGCTATAGTTTAACACGGATTTTCTGCAAGATCAGCAGTTTCTAATGAGGCAACTAATCGGGTTTCTTTACCCCCATTATCAATCCTCAGCGATTAGTTAGCTATATTGCATATTCAGTGGCCTTTAACCTTGCAAACCCCTTTGAACCCTCTTTCAAATCAACACCTTTGCTCGCAGGAAATTCGAGCGCCAAAAGTGAGATTCTCCCGCCAAGTGATAAACTCACCATATCCGTGCTCCCTGGCCCGCAACTTGTTGTATATGTTCATCCTGCAATCCGCTTGGCGACTGCTCCTTTAAGTCCTCGTTTTTCACTATATTAATTGCTATTTCCTTTGAAATAAAACAACCTACGATGCATCGAAAATATTTTTCAACGACGCAGCTGGACTCTTGAGCAGTGTAACCGTCTTCGGATAGGAGTAAGATATTATTTGGAGCGAAAAACTGACTTTAACCGCCAAAACGAAAGCAGTATTTTATTTTCATATTATTGTTTACACAAAATTATTGCTAAGTAATTGCTTGACTCCACTTCATTTTATTTTTGATATTTATTTACAGTCTCATAAACTCGGACTAAGATTTTGATTATCACTTTTATTGTAACTAAAATTAAAATTCATGCGAAGAGTTATTGAAATTTAAGAAGACAAAAATAATTTCGAAAATCCCTAAAAGGACTAAATTGCATTTGATCAGCTGATAGCCAGCTGTTTGCCTCCTGTTTTTTAATGCATGATATTTTTTAAAGTTGAAATTGATTTAAAAAATGTCATTCCTTAAATAAACCGGAGGCTTTTAAGTTGGATTGAATTTTACATTCATTGTTATCAAAAAGACATGGCAACTCAGTAATAGTATCGCAGCAAGCTTTGATTTCTTTAATATTGATAAAAAAAATGTTAATACTAAATAGTGTCAGATTTAAACATTGATTAACATCATTAATTTTAATTAATCATGTTGTTAGGTCCCAAGAATTTGAAAATAATTATGTTACGATGGTTAGGTGCTAGACAATTCAACAGGAACCATTTCTTGTCGTTCCATCAAGTGCTAAAAAATTATTTTTAAATTTTAGCGATTTTTTCGTTTAGGAAATGTGAAATAAAATTAATATAATTAAATTTGATCAAAATCAAAACATTAAAAGTACCAAAATATACTAGCTTTGACAAGTTCTTGGATTCCCTTTACTTATGTGATTTGACGAATGGCAGCACTTGGTCACACCGGCTCATATTTTGTTTTTTTGTTGCTGTTCGCTGACTTGTTTTATGTTTAATCAAAGTTGCGCATAAATTTTTCTGCAAATTGTTTTCAATTTACGCATTTAAATGCAGCTGCCCCTTTTTGGTTGCTTGTGCTAGGAGTCGGGATATTGGATAGTCATATACACACATATACACTCACAGAACGAAAGGAAGGACTCAAGGATACAATTCAAGGACTGCAGCAACAAAAACACAGGTGAGCAGGCAGAGCGCCAAAGTTGGAATTCTATTCTTGTTTTTAGGGGGTTGGGTACGCCAGTTGCAATCAATAACACCCAGGAGGCAAAGAAACCCCCCTTGAGAAAACAAAACACGCAAATGCAGGAACTATATCCAAGAGTTTCGATAGTTAGAGGTTTGCTATATAAAGTTGGCTTAGCCAAACTCGAGTGCCCAAATATTTTGGCCGTAGCGCATTTCCGCATTCCACTTAATGTCCTTGGACGACCACCACCCACCCACTGCCACACCCCCTTTTTGTTTAGGGATAGGCCTCCTTTCGGAATGACCATTTTATTGCACTTTGCGTGACCTTAACCATTTGGAGCGGTCCGTGTCATGACACGGTTATAGTATGTATGCCAGACGTTATCTAACTGGAACTTGAATTCACTTAGTCAAATTAGCAGCCAGGGATGCCCTGGATTAGGCTTAGTTACGACTTGGGTGGGTTCTAGTTAATATATGTATCTGATAGCTTGAACTCCGCTGACCCGCAAGGGGATTCCTTCCCCCAATCCCATGGCTTGCTAGCCCTGGTCTAGACTCCTTGTTTGGACAGTTGGAAAAGCTGCCGCATTTCCATTTAAGGCTCCAACACGTACGACACGCGCCTCGTCGCCGTTAGAACGACCTTATATACACATACGGTTAGTGAAGCCACCCAAAAGGGGCACAGTTGGTCATCCATTATTTATTATTATTAATACGGTCTAACCTCAATATAACAAACAGAATAAACAGTTGATAATTTGTGTTTGTATACATAACTCCAATTATTATTTCTAAGAATTTATCATCACTATGATTATATGCAATCAAAACCGTTGTGACGAATGCTTGATAACTAATTTGAATTTATTCAAGTTCAAAGCTGTGTGTACTTGTTTGTCATATTTTGACTTGAACTCGGAATTAGATTCATGCTTTTATATAAATACATTTAAAGATAACAAATTTAAACTTTACTTTATTATCTCCAAAAGCTGAATAAAATAAAAATAACTGTAAGCTATATTTATATTATTTAAAACAAAACAAGTAACAAGTAACAAGTAACCCTTTTAATTGTACATGACTCATCCTAGTCGAAGTTAGGCCATATAGACTGTTTTATTGCCCACCTCAGTTAAAACACAAAGAAAAACAAAGTATAACCGTAGCGAAGAAAGAAGGAGGTTTTCTTTATCTAGAGATACGGTGCTGATGAACGTTAGCCAATCATTTATGTTACTTAGTATATCTGTAATTTCCTTATCAATGCTTGCAACTGGAATCGGTGTAATATATGTGTGATATACAGCAAACGATGTCGGTGGCCGGGCTTCGACAATGTCTGCTGCTCTGGAGCGTCGACTATTGGAACTTGGAAGGTAAACCGCTGAAAAGTGCGGATCTGCTTTGCTTTTAAGTTGCCAGCATTCAGTTTTCTTTGGTTGCTCAGTTGTTTCTCCGTTTTGTTTGGTTGGCTCAAGTTGCTCGAATCGCTGCACCACAATGCTTTATTCAATGAATATGCAGCGATAATAATATCTGAATCGCACCCCTCCCTTCCGCTTTAGTCATGGCAGAAAATGTCTTCAAGTCGCACGATATCGGGCTGCGGGCGCAGAAGAAAATCTTCTCACGCATGGCCACCAAAAACATTGCGAAGACCTTTATTGACGGGACAACGGCCTCGCTGCTGGACAACCTGTACAAGTTGTGCAAGATGCATACCGGGAACAAGGCCAAGGCGGAGAAGCTGATCAAGAACATCATCAAGATCGTGATCAAGATCGGGGTTCTCCACCGGAACAATCAGTTCAGCGAGGAGGAGCTGCAAAAGGCGGAGAACTTTAAGAGAAAGTTTCAGGTGAGACTCCATTTATTAAACACTCTAATTAAAGTTATGCTCAAAAGAACGCAAGCCTTTTATTTTCATAACTGTTTGTGCAGTTGTATTAACCAAACTATATTATATTTCAGAACACCCAGCTGTCCATTATATCATTCTACGAGGTGGACTTCACCTTCGACCTGGCCTACCTGCAAAAGTCAATAGCCGAATCGCAAGTGGCGCTGAAGTCGATTGTACAGCCGCATCTCACAGAGAAATCGCTGGGCCGCATCGACGAGGTGTTCGATTTCTTCGGGGAAGAGACGCTGCTGGAAACGGCTTTCCGATCGGACTCCCCCTATCGCGAGGTGATGGGAAAGATCGTGGCCGACATTAATGCCGCGATGGAATCGGGGGACATCTGAGGAGATCCGGAAACCGAACTGAGCTGTCATGCGTGCTATGAAAGAAAGGCTATCTATCGAAACCAAAAAGCAACCAGTAGCTAGTTGCGAATGGAAAACGCTTGCTTAAAAGCTCACCCACCAACACCAAAATACAAAGTCTAGATATAGATATGGAAGAGCAGCGACAGTGAGGAAACGGCTGGAAAAGAAATGAAAAAGACATGGGTTTAAACAAGAGTTTAATTTAGTTTAACTAGTGATATACCATTGACAACAATATCAAAAGTGTAAAGACGTCCGTATTGATTATTTTGATGACAACGTTAACATTTGTGTACTCAAGGTCTATATAGTAATAATTAGGAAAAACCAAATGCATTTCGCCAAAGGAATTCACCAAACGGAAATTGTAAACTCGAGCAAAATGCTTTTATCGGTGTGTAAGTCGTTGATCGTATGCGTGCGTGTAACTTTATATGTGTAAGTCTAATTGTTAAATGGGAAATACTTCAGCACATAAGCAATTATTCGTGGTCTACTTTTTGATACTCTAAAACTCGCTGTATCCAATCGCAATTATCTGTATATGTAACCCACAAAACACCGTCTTAGTAAGACTCCTACGTACTTAACTGATCGTTGCTGATCGGAATCACATAAATCACCTGTAAACGTTAGTCCATGCTAAGTTGGTTATGCTAAGTTGTCACCAGAACCTGTTTACCACTCGACTCCTTTTGTCTGAGAGCCAGTTCCGCACATCTATTTGTATTTCTTTATGTATTCCAAGCCTCAAAGGGGTCAGTAACCTTAAGCATTATTTATGATACTCCCACAATGATATTCCAACTACCCGAAACATATCGAAACTATCTGAAAGCAAACAATGCTAAGGGGACAATAAGTTGTTCGAATTTTTCAGTGACTTCTGAATCGATGTTTCAAACGGAGGAAGCACAATTTTAGTCGTTTAGATTTTAAATATTTATTTGTTTACCAACAAAACAATGTTGACTATAAAAATAAAAGCAACAATTACCAAAAAGTCTTAATTTCTAAACATCCCTTTACTCAGCCCGCTTTTTGTTTAAAACTTCGTGGGCTTCCTCGCCAGCTTCGAGTTGTTGCTGCCGGAACAGTTCGATAAGCTTCTCAGTGGCGGTTTGCGGTGTCTCCAGCGGCTTGGATGCCTCTTCACTGGGATATACCTGGCCTTGGGATTCTGGGGAACGCAGCAGGAATGGTGTCCACGGTCCCTGGATGGACGGCACGTCCGTGTGCCACATTTTGCGCAGACGCAGGGAACTGGAGCTGCCGTTTTGGGTCTTTAGCAGGTCAACCCACTTGGAGATCTCCTCTTGAGTGTTGTTCCTGCAGCTCATCCACTCGCGCTCGCCGTTCACTAGAAATAAATTATATTTTTATAGTTTCTTTATAAAATACAGTATTTCCCATCTTAAAACCATGTTGTAAAACTTTATTAAAGAAACTAAAACTATTGTTTAGTGATATTTAAAACTCTTGAAATTTGAATTTCAATTTGCTAAATTAATTGAATTTGGTTTGAAACAATAGTATTCTTGAGAAGAATGGTCTAGAATTTTTATAGATGTGAAAACAAGTTGGTTTGTAAATATAGTAAAATAAACTAAGAACTTTTAGATTAGAATGTTGAGCCCCTTCAAAAGTTGAGTACTCACAATACTCCCCCACCAAAACTGGGGTGCGATGGCGTCTGGGCTTCACATATACCACAATGCCGGGATTCTCCTTGGCAAAGTCCACCAAGTGATTCTCAATAAAGTCGCTGTGGAATTTTAAAATTAATTATTACTAATTTTTAAGTTAAATTTAATGATTTTTTCATACCGCATGCCTCTGCTGGATCCATTATTCTTGCAGAACTTCAATGTAATCCTCTGCAGCTGGCAGACATAGCGTCCAACTCCGTTTTGCAGGGGAGCCCGTGGAAAGCCAGACTTCAAGAACAAGTGGCTGTTTGACATTTTATATTTATTTTTAATTCAAAAGCACTTTAAATTAATTTTTAAGACTTTTCGTAATCAGAGAAGACGTAACCTCACGCCGCAAACAGCTGACAGCTGTTTCTCCTTTTTTAGGGATGCCAATTTATCTAGTAAATAAAGTATGATTTAGCTATGGTTTAAATAGATTTTTAAAAAAGATTTCCATTACAACCCTGATTATAAGAAATTATTATTTTTAAAAACGTTTTGTTTTTTGCATAGATAGAAACCCGAGTGATACATTTTTTCATGTTTATGTGCTTAGCTGGTTTTAGCTATTTTTGGTTGCAAACATTTTTCCAACCTAGTGCTCATCCCTGACAACAGACAGGGCTGTTATACACTCTCCCACTTTTGATAAAGAAGAAGCGGCACAAAACGGAATACAAAAATGCAGGCGGAGCGTCGTTTTTCTTTTGATTGGAAAACCTCGAAGCCGGAGTAGAAAGCGTGCAACGTGTAAAAGTGGAGCACATGCAGCTGGGCTTATCAGCAGCAAGTATATAGAAAAATGGCCACAGTAAGCATAAAAACACTATATTATTGCAATTGCGTGTAACCAGTGTCTTGGCATTTAGACCTTTGCAGGCTCAAAGTTCTCGAGTCATGTTCTAGTGGAAGAAGAGGGGGAGGAGCAAGAGGAAGAGGAGGAGGAGGATTCCGCCGAGTCCGGTTCCACGTCGTCGTTCAGTTTGCAGGAGTGCATCGATGAGTTCAGGGCTCGACGCATTCGCAGGGTGTCCACCCAAAGTCGCGACTGCGAGACCAACAACAATAACAACAACATGCCTAGGCAGCCGCCCCGAACTCGAAGGACCACGGATGCAGACTTAATCAACCAGAATCGGTGTAACAAGGAGCAGGAGCGCAAGGGCAAGCCCTGCCAGAATGGTTTCTGCTACTGCTTCACTAGCGACAGCGGGGATTGTGGCTCCACGGCGCCGCCACGTGACCAGCACGTGCGATTACCTCGGCGCAGCAGGCGTTCCGAGACCTCTAAGGTGTGTTTACCCTTATCCCGATTAAATCCCAAATTAAACCCGTATTTTATCCCCGTTTTCCAGCCCGCCAAGCAGAACAATCTAGGCAGCCAGCGACAGCAGGCGGACAAACGCCGTCAGAGCGAGCCGGCCAACATAAAATCCAGCTTCAAATCTCCTCTAACCGCTGTCAGTCGCTTGAGAGCCGTTGGCGGCGACGATGAACCCCTCATCCACATCATCCAGGAGCTGCACGACAACTGTGTGGTTTCCGAAGTGCGCGTAAATCGCCAAAAGCTGCCAGTTTCGGGCTCCAACTGCCGGCACAGGAATTCTCAAACCGTGAAAGGCACTACCAAGATGCTGTCTTACGAGCCCATAGCCTACAAACCCTCGGCTCCTGTTTTGTCCAACATCAGCGAGCAGGAATCAGCTGTGGAGGAGGAACATGAAAATGAAGTAGCGCCAACAGAGCCCGAAAGTCGTAGGAGCTCCCGTTCCCGTCGAAGTTCCGGTGGAGGAGGACGACTTCTGCAAAAACGTCTCTCTCTGGGCCAAGTCAACTTCAAGACACGCGATTCTCAGCAGCCGCCGCCGAAGCCACCGCGGCGCAGCTCCCAAAGTTTAGATGGCAAGCTCTCGCAATCCTCGCTCACATCCACGAATCCTTCGGTACGAGAAGCGGAGCGAGTCCTTGACGAATTTCTACGCAAACGTGGTGTTCAAGTTCCTGGTAGTAAGGTAGACTCTTCGCGCAGAAAGGACGGCCAGCGCAGATCTTATCCCATGGGTAAGTAATCCACCCAGGCCCAAGTTAATGAGACCGTAACCAAATCGAATTAGATATACAAATTTCCAAAAAAAATAATTTTACCAAAAATCAAATATATTTACCAAATAAAGACTTGTGTTCCTAAACATTTGGGTTACGGTTTCATTTCCTGAACCTTTGGATTCTAAGATTTCATGAGTTTTGTGTCTATATCTAGCTGAGGTGGAGAAACCAAGGAGTCACAAACATCTGCCCACATGCCCCTCACTCAGCGACCTTGAGCGCGTTGTGGAGTCCAAGCGGGGCTCGAATTATGCCCGGAATATACGGCAGGAGAGCAGCCGGAAAAGTGGGCCAGCTAAGGAGATAATTATTGGCTGGACGGAGCCCAAAATCACCGATATGCTGAACTACGAGGGAAAGTCAGCCAGCGAATTTAGGACGCAAGCTCCCTCAGCGGAACCGCAAGTGGCCCTTGGATGGCAACTGCCTAAAGCACAACCACAGCCTGTTGTTCCAAAGGTTTCCTTGGACACCGTGGATGGCAGTATGAGCGAGAACTTAGCATCAAATATGCTGCAGAAAGACACACCCATCAAATATCCCAGTCGAGATGGGATAGCAGGCGGTCAGGCCAGCCAGAAATTCATCTGGGGCGAGCAGTGGCGAAATCTTTCACCTTGGAAGGGTAATAAGTCGAAAAACATAGGAACCAAGTCCAAAAACTTCCTAAATACCTCCAAAAAGAAGATCCTGCGCTTCGTATCGCCCAAGAAATCGAATCAACAGGAGAATCCGAGGGAGGATCAAATCAAAATCACTCCCAAACAGTGCACTGTTGGTGTGCAGACCTCCACTTCCCGATTGGATCTGCACTCCCAATCTCCGCCGGGCAGCTACCACTCGCCCATCCAAACCACGCCCTCGGCAACGACCACATCTACTCGTCAGCAGTTGGATAGGGAGCAGCCCTACTTTGATTTCGAGCGCAAGGTGGATGCTCCGACGCCTCCAAAGAAGCTGCCCCGTGCCAATAGAGCTCGAAAGCTGGACTTTCAAACGGAGGCGACACCCACCACGTATCGCTCGTTTCACAAGGACCTCGATCAGGACGTGACCATCACCAAGATGGGCTATCTGCTGAGCAGCATTCGAGCCAAGCTGGAGGCCAGTGATGAGCGGGCATTGCGAACTTTCCGGGTGAGTTTTTTTTTGTTTAACTATTGCAAATATTTTGCATACAAGTCTGCATTGATTAGGGTTTTGTTTTTTTGCTATTAGTTTACATTAAGCAGTGTCTATTAAAATACTTAGTAATCGAAGAATCGTTCGTTCAAATCTTTAATCTTGTAAAACAAATCGGTTTACTTTCCAAATAATTTAAAAGACTGTAAATTAAACTTGGAAAATAGTCAATTTCGCTAACTATCTATTTGTTCCATACTATATTTCGTATCCTTATGATGAGTCAGGGAGTGAAAAATTTAAATGCTAGACAACTGTGAAAATGGCGCCCATGGCGTAGTGATCGGAACCCAGAAAATGGTTGGGAATTTGTCCCACCCTGCAGCAGCTGTTGATCGAGGGCAGTGAGTAGACGCTAATGGGCAGAAGCTTGTGCCTGCTCCGTGATCCTAGCGAGCGCAGGATGTAGTCCACGGTAATCCATTCGTTTTGGTATGTGGAGGCGGTGCCCTCGCCTGGATCGATCAGCTCAAAGCGCAGAGGCGCTGGGTTAGCTTCTGATTCCCCATCGTCCCCCTTTCCGATGAGTAGTTCAATAGGTGATGAGGTCTCCAGACTGTTGAAGTCACCAGTTAGGACGACAGGTGTGTCTGTGGAGAAGGAGTGAAGCTCCTCCAGCATTCTTCCCACCTGAGCGCAGCGCACATCATTTCGTTTTGGGTTGTACAGCAAATGCGTGGTGGCCACCACGAACTCCTTCTGCTGGTCTGGCTCTTTTTTGAATCGAAACTTTGCAAACAAGGCTACATTCTCGCGATTGAGCAGAGCCACCTCTTGGTCATGTAGCTCCACGGCTCGCTGGTCGAGCAACTGGAACTTCGATGAGTCATAGACAATGGCGCATCCGTCTGTGCGATGTCCAGTCTTCTTTTTGTAGACATAGGCCAACCTTTTGCCGTTGCCCATGCGCAGTCCTTGGACTAGCAGCCCCAGGTGATCGAACTGCATCTCCTGCAGGCACAGGATGTCTGGATTTAGTTTGATCAGCTCCCTCTGAAGGTTCTGCTGGCGGCGACGCCAGGTGAGAAACTCTTGAGGAATTCCCACGTAGAGGAAGAGATGCTCTAGCAGAAGGTCTTGGGCCAGGATGTTGTACGAGACCAGCTTGAAGGTGGACGACTTGTGGGGGTCCCGCACCTGAGGCTGATCTTCCACGGGTTTCCACCGCCTGTTGAAGTCGTAGCTAATTTCGATATTCATCTCCTTTGGTTTTTGTTTGCGCTTGCCGTTTGCTTTTCTTGTGTGGCTGCTTCTACTGATCTGCTTCCTGGCTTGGAGTGAAACGGTGCGGAGTAGGGATTTATACATCTCCTCAGGTGCGCCTCGCCATGTGCCTGTGCTCCTGGTCCCCTTTAAATGCCTCTGTTATGGAGTTTTTTTGGATGGCGTTCGAATTTGCCAGGGGAATGGGAAATATATGCTGCTGTCAGCTGTTTCTGCTTGTTGCCTTGTTCGTTTTGCGCTCTTCTTCGCCTGGATGCACTGGAGCTGATATCGATAACTTGGTCGGAATCAGACTATCGAAATTCGAAATATCAAATTCCAGGCAATTAAAATTTACTGCACATTAAATAGGCTTAACACTTTATTAAATAATCATAGTATTTTAAAAAAATAAATAAACAAGGTTTTAAGGAACATTAATAATAACAATAGTAATTGTTTAAAAAAAATGTGTATGAAGTTTTTGTAAATAAACAATCTGGCTTGAATTAGTTTTTCGTAACGAGATTAAACTTTTATTAATATTAAAAATTCTAGTCATAATTTGATATTCACCTATTTTAGTAAACTGTTCTCAAAATAGTATAGTCCCTTGACTGCTACATAGATACAATCAATCTGATACAATACACACTTTCACCTTTATTATTTCACTTCTATGAATGCCAGTTATATAAAGTATTTGAAAATATTATTAATAACGTATCTGTTAATTTTATATTTTTCCAGGACTGCTCCCGCTTCAATCCTCATGAGCGAAGTCATCTTCAAACTGAGAGCTTCGACTGCACGGACGGACCCAGCAGCCTAGTTACCACATCTGTGGCTACTACACGTCTACAATGTGATCTCGACAGCGAACCCATTTACTCGGAGATCGAAGAGGATTGCTTGCGGATTAGGGGAAGTCCACACCACGAAGTTAGGACCGCAGCGAGGATAATAAATCCGACTCCGACTCCAACGGAAAATTCCACAACGTATGTGAGTGAGTCTATGCCGGATCCATCGCCTTCGCCCGCTGATATCAGTGCTATGTACGCCAGGGTGCAGAAGACACCGAAGAACTCACCTCAGATAAAGTCAACTGCTGTCCAGTCAGAGATAATTGTGCAGGCTGCTCAGCCACAGATAATTGCTAAGCCCCATTTAATTCCAACTGTTATCCAGCCCCAGATAATTAATCAGGCTGTACAACCCAAGAATATCATTCAGCCTATGCAACCGCAGTTAACCACCCAGGCGACTCAACCTCAATTAATGGCTCCCAATCAGCCTGTGGCCTTGGGACACTTTCTACAAGAATCCATGAAGAACGGCAACTTCTTTCAGTTCATGCCACTGCCCGAGGAACCCAGCGGTAATGACTCCTCCTGCTCAGCCAGTCAGACCACTGAGTCCTCTGTGGTTTGCCAGCCCAAGCTGAAGTCGCCATCTCCACTTACCCATCATTCCCTGAACAACATCAGTGAGAAGCATTCACCACCAAAGAAGAATCGAAATCTCTCCCGTTCGGAACTTTCCCTGCAGCGTAGCGAGATCTTTCTGGACAATCTGTGTCGCAGTGAACTGGTGCTGGATCGACCGGAAAAAGTGCACAATGTAAGTGGCTCTTAGCGATCGTAACTTGTATCCTATGTCTTATCTAATCCCCCTTTACAGACCAGTTCCAATTTGGATTCCGTTTCGTATGATATGCCCAACGAAGGCGTCGACGAGTTGTATGCAGATTACAGCTTGGGTGAGGCGGGCAGTGCCGGTAGCTCCTTTGTGACCAATGATTATGGCTCTGGACAAATTGAGCCGGAGCTGGCAAACCAGAGCACGCCGAAAAAGAAGCAGAGCCAGCGGTTCACAACCAAGGTAGAGATTTTTGTTGACTCTCATTAAGGCTTCTGCTTGCATTCGACACTGTTAACACTTGTAAATAGCCACTATCCTCTGTACTCATCCAAATCTTTTCGAAACGCATATGAAATATAAGATTGTTTTTGTTTTGGTTGTATGAAATTGAGTAATAATTAATCTTTCAGCCCTCGCGCAATCTGACCATAGATATAAACGATGGCCCAGCCACGTCGCTGCGTCAGTTTGGCCAGAATCTCAGCTTCAGTTGCCCCACAACTCCTCAGCAGGCAGAGGCGGTGCAAGTGGTGGATCCCTCTGGCCTCCACAACAGCAGCAGTTTGGGTGAGCTAATGCAGACGGTGCCCATTCCCAGTGACAGCCAGCTGATGTCGGTCAGCACTCTGGCCCGCTACCGCCTGCTAAAGAATGCCCTGCGTCGCTCGTATCGCAAGGGAAAGGACTTCTTTCTGGCGGAGAAGCAGCGACTAACTCAGAGCTTAAATCTCTCAAGGGATCAGTCCAATCAAACGGAAGGGGAGCTGGAAAGCAGCACCTACTATGCTAGCTTCAATTTAGATTCCCTGCTGAATGAGTCTTTAAACCCCAATGACCAGTTGGCTCAGGCTGTGAGTATATGCCGCCAGATGCCTGAGCTCGAGATTTCTGCGGAGATGGTGGAGGCCGAGCGACTGCTGCTCTTCTCCAGCCTGCGAAAGTCGGCTCCACTTGGTTCGCAATTAAATGAGGAAGCTCTGGCTGCACGGAGGCAATCGCAGTGTCTTCTGATCGATGCAATGGAACTGCCGGTGAGGGCGGACGTCAGTCAGGATATGTTCTTCAATTATCATTACATCTGCACCTTCGAGTGCGGAGGACGCATTCGCTCCACTCAATCGGTGGAGTGCCAGAATGGGTCCGCCTTCTTTCGGGACTGTGGCTTGGAGTTCTATAGTGGTGAAAAGGCGGAGTCCTTGGAGCTGCGCTGCCAGATCTTCATGCTGCGCCTGCGCAAGGTTTCCACGCTAGCTTTGGAGCCAGCCAAGTCACTGGTAAGTAGCTTTATTTCTCAAAGGAAGCTGTAGCATAATGAGTTACCTTGCAGAGACGTGGTAGCGGAATCTTAGGTTCCGCCAACTCCAGTTCTTCAGCAGGTTCTGGTGGCGAGCAGATCATCTCCCGCTTTCGCCTACATGCTTCTTTCAAACTACAAGCCATGGACTTGGCACCCTTTCAGCTGGTGGCCAGTGAAACGAGATCCAGCGATAAGATATGCCTGCGCAGCTCGCGATCCTGGCGATTGCCCTTAACTGCTCACACCAAATCCACGAATCTGGGCCCGGCGATATCTATTACTGGAAGAGTGGATTTACGGCTACCCAAGGCCCGTTTCTCTGGCTATCTGAATGTTCAGGACCCGAAGAGCAGACACAACTGGAACCGAAGATGGTGCAGCCTAGATGGCGTGCACTTGTCCGTTTGGCCACATGAGCATAATCTAGGAGATGAATTACCCCTTTTTTCGCTGGAACTGCCAGGATGCGGGCAGTCTTCGATAGCAGCAGCACCTCGCGAACTTTGTGCCCGGGCCAGAAGCTTTTTGCTGCAAGGAAAGGAATCTGATTACGAAGCGGGAGTGTTCTTTGCCGCCGATACTCAATCGGAACTTTTGGAATGGCTAGCGCACTTAAATGAGGCTCTGGAATTCGCCAGGCACTGGCTAAATTCCACCTGACAGCAGTTGCATTCCCTAGAGATTTTTATTTTTATATGTGTTGAAGTTTTCTATTTATATTTGCTAATATTTAAGTTATGCCCAAACATTTCCGTTAATTGTAAATTAGATTGTTTGCCATGCAAACTTGCCGCTCGAATATCTAACATAGGGCTAGAATACAAGTTTTTTTTGCTTAGGTTTAAGAACATATCTATGAGAACATTCCTTGGCCTTTAGGGGAAATAGTCATTGGATCTGAACCATCTAACCCCCGTGTTCAGTGGGCTTGCCGTTCACGTCACAACAACAACAGTTTATTACATACATATTTTACATGGGCTACTATAAGTTGATAAGATACAGATACGATTATATATTTGATATAGGTTACAATATGATACACAAGTATGTTTATATGCGCTGGTTGCCCCCGGTTATCTGCGGAATCGGTTATCCATGCTCACACATCCCCACATCCTCACATTCGTGCCTAGTTAGTGCCTACGCATAACTATTACATTTAAGTATATGTACTATTTAAGCTGCTTTGTAATTTCGTTTTCGTTTGCTCATTACAGTGCAAAACATAAGAGTCTGAGGTTATGTTTGTTGTGGTATTGTTTTCCAAGCAATTTACATACTTAACTTGTACATGACTTAAGCACTTACTATTCTCTATTGATCTGACGATGAGTCACGTTAAACTGTACTTGGTTTGGGCTCTGCTTATGCTTAGGTTCTGTATTATCTGTATCTGATTAGGCGTCTGATTCTGTGTGCGTTTTTCAATCTGTTTTCGCTGATAACTAATTGAGTGGAATCTATGGATCTAAGGATATGCAGGAGCGCAGTGCAAGTCGGACCTAGTAGAGGGATTCGGATTAGGCTCAGGCCAGCACATACTTCCACACTCGATTCGTCTGGTGGTTGGTTCCGATCTCGGTCACATACAGCGCCGATCCGTTGACACTGACCGCCATGGAGTGCGGGTTCTTGAAGTCTCCCCAGTGCCCGATGATCGTCTCTGAGCGCGGATCAATGGTGAATCCCCGCACGGGCAGCATGGAGGTGGGTCCATTCACTGCGAACACTATATCACCATAGCTGGCGACCCCAAAGACGCGTCCCAAGTCCGGTTCCTGGATGGTTGCTGCCGGTTCACCCTCGCCATGTGAGGATATCAATCCAGCTCTGTCAAAAAAATGCCGTTCAAATATTTATTATTTACAAAAATTAACTTTGCTTACTTGGGGCAGACTACGCGCATGTTTTCCCTATCAGCAATACACAGAAGATCCAGGTGTTCAAGCAATGTAATCGCATGTGGAACCTGCAATGAGAGGAATTCTGCAGAATGGATGGTTAAAAAATGTAAAACCCTTCACAGGTGCCTTTTAAAAAGTGTATGACAATATATGAATATTATAAAAAATATGGTTTTGGAATATAATTGATAGTCAAAGGAACTAACTTGTCAAATATGTTAAGTTTAAAGTAACTTAAATACATTTTTATAAATGATATGAAATTGTATGTACATTTGTTAATAAATAATATTATTGCAAGAGGTTTTATTTGTAAATAATGCAAACAGCAAGAATGGCAAAAGTACGTTTTCAAATAAATCAAATTGTGTTTACACAAATTATATAAGGAATTCGATCTTCCCACGCAGTAGGAAAATTAAGTATACGCACCGGGTGGCTGGGGAATCGTACGTAACAGCTTGCCAGCGGCATTGAACTTGAGTATGCGACTATTGCAGTAGCCATCGGCGATAAAGAACTGTGGATTGTGATTACAGTGAAATCGAGTACAAAAATAACTCAACAGGTTACGGATACCTCTCCGGTTGTGGCCACTGCAATGGATGTGGGTTTGCACAGGTGTTTGACTGATGATCCGGGCCTAAATCGCTTGCCAATTGTGAGCAGTGGCTTGTTGCTAAATGGCTTAAACTAATAGGGGATAATATGGATTACATTTAAGAATTTCTTATTTATATAATATTTCTTATATATTAACCTTAAAGGCCTGATGCATGGCCACATCTGTGATCCAGTAATTGCCATGTCCATCGATGGTCATGCCATGTGGCATGTAGAACATGTTCGATCCCCATCCCGATTTAATAGCTCCCGTCTTCGCGTCCAGCACGTAGATGGTCTTCTCCTTAATTGGCCCGTATTCGATAAGGTAGTATATATTGCTCTCGTTAAAAGTACTGAAAGAGCAACGGTGATATAGGGATTAAATAATTTTTGTATAATACATTTATCATTAATTTGAATATGTGTATCTTATATCTGATAAAAAAAGGTAAATCTTAAAGTGCAAAAATATATAGGGATACATCAATAATTGAATTGCAAAATAATGACTTATGATGTATATTTTTTCTTTTTCAATAATTTCCGAAAATAAGATCAGATTGATAAACTAATAAGTTTCTATGTACATATGGGATAGACACTTGTTACTAGGCAGCGACAGCTGTTGACCTACTTTACATCCCAGTAGCGCTCGGCACGGTGGAAAACCACCGGATTTCCCTGTGGATCCACGGCAACGGCGGTGACCTGGCCAAAGCTGTGCTGCTCGGTGGGCCAGTTCTCGACGAGGACAGGGGTCGGTACACTGGCCGCCGGAAGGGGCACATTGTCGTAGCTGCGTTGGTTCTGCAGGGCCACCGCATCATCGTCCGCCAAGGGTAATGTCAGATCCGGCTGCTCCGGCTTCGCGAGACCCTTCTCCTGGAGCCTCCGCTTGATGAGCGCACGCACTTGGTCGAAGAAGCGCTCGTTGAGATTCACACCTGGCCCCAGATCCACGGCCAATCCCGATGGCAGGTGGTTGCTGCTGCTGGGCGCCACACAACCGAGGCTAATGGCCAGCAGTGCCACGAACAGGAGGCGCGACATTTTCTGGAAGTCCTGCGATTTTCTTCACCAAAACAACTGGGATTTGGCTTCTAACTGCGCTCACTCGATTTTCCACACTGCCAACATCTGTTGGCGGTGTCTATATGTTGAGCTGGCAATAGATTAACTGACTTTTGCCCAAACACACACTTGCACACGCACTCCCACGCTGTTCGATTTTCGCTTTCAATGCGACGCCTGCGCTTTAGTCCTGCACAGTGGGACAAAATTAAAAAGTTGGAGAGAAAAACATCATTCAGAAAGAGGGGTGTATAAATGAATGTTATGAAAATAAACGTCTTCTTAGTAAAAGTATTATTATTTGACTTTTTAAAAGAGTTCAAAACTATTTAATTTACTAACTATTCCGGCCACCTCCTTGAAAAAAAATATTTAAATAATTAAATTTTGAAGACCTTTCCATAAATTTATTGATTGAAAGTGCAAGTTAAAAGTGTTTCATTACCACAGTGGCCCTGCCACAAGACATCGTGAATTTGGAAAGCCTTTATTGATTTTCCAACAGCAGTGCGGAAACAGTGAAGTCGAAAAGTATTACGACATTCGATACTATTTTATTTTCAGCACAAATACCGATAACAACTGGGGAGACTAACTCAACACCATTTTATTTTAGGGCCCAAACAGTCGTCTCGATTTTGGCTTTCCGGCCATCCCTTTATTTTTTGGGCTCCGGTAGCGTACAGTCGGCAGTCAGTGTCTTTGACGTCACAGCGAGCTGTGCTGACGGTGAGGGGGCGAGGATTGGGGGGCGCTATCCGGGGTGGCTTCATCCTACGTCCCCCAATCCCAGTTCGGCTGGGTCCAAATATATCCGGTGTCGGTCATCGAGCAGTAGGCATTATAGTAGCGCCCCGGCGACCTGGGAAAATGCGAAAGCAATTACACCAGCCGAATCTCCGGAAAAGCTAATTAGATTCCCATCCCGATTCCCAGTAACTCACCGGCAGTACGAGAACTGGGGACACTTGCACCGGAAGAGGCTCTGGAACTCCTCCTTGCACACCTCGTTCCACCAGCAGGTGCGCTGTAAAGGATTCATATGGGTTAGTTCATCCCCACCATGCACCTCCAATAAACCATAAAATAGAGACCTCGGTCATGTAGCCATGGACACTCTGATCCGAGTAGCTTCGCTTCGAGAGATGCGCCTGCACATGGCAAAGTAGCAACGTCACAATCAGAAGCAACAGTCGTGACGTCACGGGCAACAAAATGGGGGCGGACTGTAGTAAGGCAAAACAAGAAACAATTCATGAATCGAATTATGGTAGAAAGGATTTCCCTCACTCACCATCTTCTTGGATTATTTTTTTGGTGTTTTTATTTATTCCTCTGCTTTTAAAGTACAGTGAACACTTCACGTGCCGCATGTCCTGCGTTGAATGTCGCCTGTTTTTTGGCCTCCTGCTGGGGCGGTGGCGTCGGCATCTCGGCTGCCTTGCATAAGCATGGGTATTGGCCCCGTTCGCCGTCGGCTTTCAGCTTTCACTACTTTCACACTCGCACACAGCCACCGCCTGCAGTTGCACATCTGTTTTTGGACTGGTGTTGGTAAGCTTTTGGCCCATTTTCGGTGGGTAATTGCCACACTGTTTGGCTGCATTGGGTACATAAGAAAATACAGGGGGCACACACAACATAAATTCCAGAAATGCACAACAAGATGGATACAAATTGCACTTAATCAGTAATGCACATGGTGATATCAACATTATAAGCTTTTTTGAGTTTCTGTTTTTAAATCAAAACTCTGAGAAAAACCTCGTTTAATTTTTTATAAAATTTCTAGTTCAAATTTTCCAAAAAATCATGAAAATGAACTTTACTAAAATTATAGGGTAATTTGATTTATTTATTTAACCTTAGTGTAGTTAATAATCGAATATTCATTGATTAGGTGGAAGACAAAGAGTCGACGATTGGTCAATTCTGGATAACCTTAAAAGCCACTCTTAAGCCCGTCCCAATTATCCATAACATCTTTCTAGACAATCGTCTTGATCATCAAACCGCTTTCCTGTGTTACTTTTTATAATGTAGACACCCATTCATAAATAAAATAATTTATTTTAAAAAATTGAATAAAAACCTGTTATACACAAGTCTTTTATATGTATTATCGTACAGCAATAATCATTGTGAACAAGAAATACAAGAAACAAATATTTTCCTAAAATTTACAAAGGCAAGCCGAAGTTTTAATACTTTTAACTTACCTAAAGAATAAAAGAAAAATACAATTTTAATTGCTTTTATACTAATATTTATTTATTATTTATATAATAATAATAGGTAAAGAGCAACAAGAAGAGTCACGCACTAAATTCTCTTTACTTATTAAAGATTATATGACTTCGGTTCGGGAAAGTGCAATAGATCGCGCAATACTAGACACAGTGGGGCAGACACGAAAATTTTTAATGGAAAATGACGAAATACTAATTTTAACTTCTGACAAAGGAAACAAGACAGTTGCTATGGACAAAGATACTTACAATCAAAAAATGAATAACATATTGGAGGAAAGGAACACATATCGGATTTTACGAAAGGATATAACATCGAAACTTCAAAAAAGAAACAATGAATTAGCGGAAAATCTATTAACAAAAGGACTTATTTCACGGAGCGAAAGGAATAAGTTAGTCACAACAACGGCATTACCACCACGCATATACGGACTACCAAAAATCCACTAGGAAGGGACTCCATTAAGACCCATATGTTCATCTATAGGATCACCATCACACGGACTTTGTAAATATATTTCAAACATACTAAAGAACATCACCATAGACTCCAACTACAACATCAAAAACTCAGTAGAATTCAAAGAAAGAATCAACAACACTTACATCTGTGATGATGAAAAATTAATATCATTTGATGTAGTCTCACTATTTCCCAGCATACCTATAGACCTTGCACTAGACACAATTAGAGAAAAATGGACAAAAATAAAAGAACACACAAATATGCCGAAAAAAATGTTTATGGACATAGTACAATTTTGCATACAAGACAACAGATATTTTAAATTTAATGACGATATATACACACAACTAAAAGGAATGCCGATGGGATCCCCTGCTTCACCAATAATTGCAGACATAGTAATGGAAGAGCTATTAGACAACACTTTGAAAAAACTAGGACACAAACCAAGACTTTTGACGAAGTATGTGGATGATTTATTCGCAATAGTAAAAGAAGACGAAATACAAAACACACTTGACGCTTTAAACTCTTTCAATAAAAATATAAAATTCACACTGGAACAGGAAGAAGATGGAGGACTAGCATATTTGGACTCAATGGTTCACAGACAGGGGAACATTCTAAAACTAAAGTGGTATAAAAAACCAACAGCATCAGGACGAATCATAAACTTTAACTCAAAACACCCTAAAACAATGATAATCAGTACAGCGGTAGGTTATATACAACGGATGCTAGCCATTTCGGACAACATTTTTCATGAAGAAACCAAAAATGAAATAAGACAAATTTTAAAGGACAACGACTTCCCAAACCATCTAATTAGAACTTTAATTAAAAGACACCAAAACATGGAACAAAAAACAAAATGTAGAGAACCTACACAATACATGTCCGTAACATATATACCAAGACTATCAGAACGCCTTAAAAAGTCAGAATTTTGCAATAAACAAAAAATAACAATAGCACACAAGCCCAACAATACCCTACGACCAATATTCAACAAGACCAAGTCCAAAATACAAATGTTTGACAAAAACAATGTGGTATATAAAATACATACAATATATATGTAGGAACAACTAAATCCAAACTAAAAACTCGAATATCACAACACAGATCAGACTTCAAATTAAGACACCAAGCTAATATACAAAAAACAGCACTTATGGCCCACTGTAAAACCAGCTGTCACTCACCAAATTTTGAAGCAACGACTATTTTGGAACAAGAACAACATTACAAAAATAACAAACACACCCACAAGCATAAGACTGAACTACAAAACAGACGTTGAAAATTGCGCTCACATTTACAGACACTTACTTAATAACAACTAGTATTAATCTCCACGTCCGACGGTGCAGACGTGTAAAATTATGTAGGTGTAATAATTTTTAAAGCTGTGTTTTTTATTGTCTAAATTTATGTTATTTTATGTTTTTATGTTGATTATAGTTGCCCTGAAGACGGTTGCCGAAGTGCAACCGAAATATATTGGAAATAATAAAAAATAAAAATTAAAAACTTTTATTTATAACATTTTTCAATCGTTGACCTCGAGCCGGAAAAACTCAAAAAATTCAAACATACATCAAAGGTCGCCTACAAACAAAATTAAAATTAAAAAAAAATTATAATAATAATATTTAAAAAGCACAATGAAATACTTAACAATTTCCAAAAATAGTTTTGTAAGAAATTGACTAAGACAATCTTTATTATACTTGGTTTTATCATAATTAATGATTTATGCGATACTTACTCAACAAAATTGTTGCTATAAATTCACAAATGAAATTAGAAAATTCTTTTGTTTAGTCTGTCAGTAATTTTGGCGACGTCATCTCATTCGTCTGATTGAAAACGCACGCGACATGACTCAGCAGAGGAAAAACAAAGAATAAGCAAAAGTGGCAGATGCTTAAAATAGTTTATAAAGTCATTTGGTGGGCAAAGTATTTTCATATTGGCCACGTCAAATTAACAGTTTCAACAGGTAGAAAATTATGAAAATTCCTTCATATCTTGCCAAGTTTGGGGGCGTACAAATTTCAAATTCGTTCTGGTATTTTTCAAAAATTTATTTTGCGCTTTGAATTTTCTGGAAAGTATTTGCAGGCATTTTAAAATGTATACAAAATACCTTTTAAATGCAAATTACTGGTATTTGTGTGGGGTAGATGTTTAGTATCTGGCGTATACATTGCACAAGTTTGTTCTGGAAGCAAACAAACAGAAACACTACTAATTCAGCTCCGAAAAAGGCTTGTCTGTAGTGACTAAGATTGCATATATAGAATTTTCTTTTGGGTCAGCATGATAGCCGGCGTCTGAGTCTCCAAATCATCGACTCCCACGGAAGCCAAACAAAACAAGCTGAAATCTTTCGCAGATTCGCACCAAATATATGTGTTTTGGCATACATGTATATAAATTCTGTATGTTCTCTATAGAGAATGAATGTATGACGCTCGTTTAAATTTAGATGGCAAATAAATTTTCATATTTTTAGCCCATGGTGGAAGATGTAAACACTTGGTCGAGGGTATAAAACCGTGTGAATGCTGGCAGAGCTTCATCAAAATCGCAACAACCGCGAAACGGAAAAGACACGCGAGTCAAAGTGAATTAAATCTAGAAAGGTACGAAAAAGGAAATATCCAGCTATAGAACAAAATACTTATAAAAAAAGGACAATAAGTGCAATAATTAGTGAAGTGATTGGCTCACTATCGTCTCGTTTCTTGACCAAATTAGATGTCCGTAGTGCCCCTGATGTTCCGTGACTGGTGGGATGAGCTCGACTTTCCAATGCGCACCTCGCGCCTCTTGGATCAGCATTTTGGCCAAGGGCTGAGGAGGGATGACCTCATGTCCTCGGTGTGGAACTCCCGCCCCACTGTGCTGCGATCGGGATATCTGCGCCCCTGGCAGAAGAACAGCCTGCAGAAGCAGGAGTCCGGCTCCACCCTCAACATCGATAGCGAGAAATTCGAGGTGATCCTGGATGTCCAGCAGTTCTCACCATCCGAGATCACCGTCAAGATTGCGGACAGGTTCGTCATCGTGGAGGGAAAGCACGAGGAGAAGCAGGACGAGCATGGATATGTCTCTCGGCAGTTTTCCAGACGCTACCAGCTGCCAAGTAAGTTTAATTAAGATATCAAATTATTTGAGATATTTGGATATTTTAAATATGGAAAATTATTATTGAAAATGTTTGATTTTAATCAAAAACTCTTCTTACAGATGATGTCAATCCCGATTCGGTAACATCTTCCCTTTCCTCCGACGGCCTGTTGACCATCAAAGCGCCCATGAAGGCACTGCCACCTCCATCGACTGAACGCCTCATCCAGATCACACAGACTGGACCATCTTCCAAGGAGGACAATGCCAAGAAGGTGGAGACCTCCACGGGCTAAGGCTGATTTTTTTATTTAATGTGTGCTGCTTTCAGTGTTAGTTAGTTTATGTCTACGTGTGCCTTATATATTGGATTTTTACATATTTTATATCAATTAAAACGAAACTAAAGATAAATATTTACAAATGTTGGTTTATTGATACGATCAGAATGGAATCAAAACTTTTATGGATCAAGTGATTAAGTTAGGAAAATCATTTTAATTTTATATAAGCATAGAAAATTAAACAAACTTTTAAAAAAGTTTTGCAATCTTTATTCATTTTTTTTCATTGCTCGTTTATGAACAAAAAAGTAGCCTAAGTACCAAGCTACAATCATCATTATCAGTAAAAGCAAACTTTTTAATTATCTAAATTATAGTTTTTTAACCAGAAATTCATTTCACATTATCTTGAAGCGCTTTTTATAGTTCCAGCCATTGTTTTGCCATTTAATGTTTATCCATTTTTTTATCTTCTAAGGATTATTTATTAGTAAAAGTTCTTCCATAGTAACAGAGTTCCTATCTAAATTTTGTTGTATTAAGATGTTGGCTTTCTTAATTTGCTCAGGTGAAAGTTCGTGCTTGTAGCCATTAACTTTTCCACTTCGCATGAATCTGAAAGATTGGGTGTGTAATTATTTCTAAGAAACCTTAACTTATGCCCTTACTTGAAGCCCAGTTTGCCGGTATTATCGAGGCCTGCTTGGGCTCTCTCCCACTGATGATTTGTCGTTGGATTTTCTGTGATAAAGAAAGGAATAATTGTGTTCAATTTCAATACTATTAAACTAACTTTTCATTTCTTCGAAAGACAAATGCTTAAGAAGTCTCTCCATTTGCAGTTCGGTGACTGACTTATTCAGGAAACTGGAGACATCGTTAATCACTCCACCTAGATTTTTTTTCATTCTTTCAAAACTAGTGTAATAAATCCAGGGTTCATTTCGCAGCTGGTAGAATTCACAGGCATGTTCTATGGTTTCATGGGTGTAGTTGTCGTTCGACAAGAGGTCATCGAAATATTGCTGCAGTGTTTTTCCAGTGAAAGCACCATAGGTAAGGCCGTGATGATATCTAGATATCCAGGCATCTAAGCAATTTCGGAACACAAAGATCACTTTGATTTTTCGCTCCCAAAGTTTTTTGGGCAATAAGGCAAGGGGAAGATGTGTTTTTATAAGTCGTGGTGATTTGCATTCCTCTACAGCTCTTAATGATTTTTCCAAATTTCTGTGTTGAATAAAATCGTACCTAGAAAGGAATATGATTTGATGTTTTAGATTCCTTTTATTATGAATTTGCAATACCCACTCCAAAAACGGGCTACGTAGCTCTTGATCTTTGGCCAACGCCGCCTCGAAATCGCAATTGTTGAGCAGTAGCTACACCAATTCCTGCATCCAAGTAGTTCCACATTTTGGTGGGGTTACTACCCACACATCATCGTCTCGAACTTCCATGTCATGCACTAAATTAAAAAAACCATTCATGTCTTTCCTATGGAAATGTTTTCGACTCGACCAGTCTTTGTCAATTAGACTGGTGGGATAACTCCGTGGCGTGACCGGTACGCGTTCCATTGCTGTAGCTCACTGACTGCAGTTGAGTATTGCAAAAACGCGGTTTCTCGGTGATAAGAAATCTCTTTATTTTTGCATTCTTTTTTTATTGCTCTTACTTCTGTTGATAACTGAAATGTATGTAGGTAAGGGGAAATGAATGGTGAAATTCAAGCAGAGATGAAAGTTTGGTGGAAAGCTTAACTTGCTGATTTAGTAAATGGCATTTAGTTTTCTGAATCAGAGATTCCAACTTCACCGGAAAACTAAAACTTCATTTCAGGACTATATTGTCGATTTCATTTTGCAAACTAGTAATATTTTAAAAGCTTTTAAGATCTCTGTGACTTAGTTGGTTTATAAACCAAATTCCATATACAACACTTTAATTTGTTTAGAGATTTTATAATATTTTCCAATCGGAAGAAAAATGTAGAATACAAATAAAACTTAATTTAGCTTTTATAGTTTCAAGAACTCTTTTATTCAATCCTTACCTTAGCTTCTGATGCTGATCAAAAATAAATATTTATTTTAATTTGCTTCGGTTCCCCTTTCATTAATTTTGCTTTCTTTTATACTGCTATTTTACTCGTTTTTTATAATCTGTCTAAGCAATTGCACCTTTATAGACTATGTCAACTAATAATAATTATCAGTATAAGCAAACACTTTTATTATCTTATTTTGAGAATTTAATCAGAAAGATTGGTTTGTGTAACCGTATTTGTAATATCATTACAACTGTAGCTTATAATCTAGGGATTATTTAGGAGCAGTAGTTCTTCCATAGTCACAGAGTTGTTGTCCAGAATCTTTTTTATACAAGCGTTGGCCTTCTCAATTTGCTCGGGTTTAAGTTCGTCTTTGTATCCATTGACCTCACCACGTCGCACGAATCTGAAAGATACTCCAATTAAATTTAACTGGTCTTTTACAAAACGACAAGATTTCTCTTACGGGTGTATTTCCTTTCCAGCATTTTTGTGTTTTATTTGAGCTCGTTCCCACAGATGATTCGTTGTTGGATTTTCTGTAATCAGAACTTTATTACATGCCTTTTTTATTGTATTTAGCTTACTTTTCATTTCTTCGAAAGACAAATGCTTTAGTAGACGCTCCATTATTGGCTCTTCGTTGATGGGTTTGTCGAGAAAGATGGAGACATCATTGATTACTCCCCTCAGATCTTTCTTCATTCTTTCAAAACTAGTATAGTAGACCCAGGGTTCGTTTCTCAGTTGGTAGAATTCATAAGCGTGTTCAATGATCTCGGCAGCAAAATCCTCATTGGCCAGGATTTCATCGAAATACTGATGTAGCGATTTGCCATAGTGAATACCAAATGACACCCCGTGATAATATCGAGAGACAATGGAATCCAAAGGATTCCGGAAGACATAAATCACTTTGTTCTTTCGCTGCCAAAGTTGTGAGGGCAATAGAGCAAGTGAAAGGTGCGATTTTATCAGACGAGGAGATTTTAATTCCTCAACAGGCCTTAATGACCGTTCCAAATCCTCATTAACAAGAATGTCGAACCTTAAATGGAATATCCATTATCTTTAAATATATTTTCATCACATTATACCTACTCCAAAAATGGACTACGAATCTCCTGATCTTTGGCCAACGCTTCGTCAAAATCGAGATTATTAAGAAGCAACCACAATAACTCCTGCATCCAAGTGGTTCCACATTTTGGCAAAGTTACTATCCATACATCATCATCTCTGAGTTTCATATCATGCACCAAATTAAGAAAATCATCGGAATTTTTTCTAAAGAAAAGTTTTCGGTTCGACCAGTCTTTGTCGATGAGGTTTGTGGGATAACTCCGTGGCGTGACCTGAACTCGTTCCATGGCGATAGCTTACTGACTTCATAGAATGGAATGTAGTTTAATTATAGCCACTGCAGTTGGTTTAATTGAGTATTTAAGAGATATGCCTCTTCTCTTAATTCTCTCTTTTGCATTTTGTTGATAAGATTCCATTGTAGTAGCTGTGCGGTTTCTTATGATTTGTTTTTAATGGCACACTCTATCTGTTGATAATGGAAATGTAAACAAGCTGAGCGAAAGATATAGGTGTCAGTATCTTACCCAGTAAATCAAAACATTTGAAAACTTGACCGGGATTTCTTACTTTTATTGTTTTTGTTTAAACATCAACATGTTTTGTTGGCTTGGAGGGAATTTTTTTGTTTTGGCCCAAAGTATTTGCAATCTTTATGAATGAAATTAAATTTTCGTAGAAGAAAAAGCCTATCCTATGTCTGAAGAAAGAGACAATTGTTGATATAGCTATTTTTAATGTTACACATTAATTGGAGTAGCAGCTGATAGCGAAAATATAAACCACTGAATACGCTGATAACTGAGTGACAACCAAAAGAAAGTAAACAATGAAAACGATTAAATTACATGTAGTATAGGGGGAAGCAATTATTTATTAAACGTATATCACCACAGCTTACAGACTATTAACAAAGATTACACAAGATATATTATACCAAAACAACTTGGAGTGTTGTGAATTACGCGGAAGCAAACTTTTTGTAATTGGCAAAGTCATCCATGTTCAATTTGTAATCCCTCAGATTAATGTCAGACCAGAGATCAAATTCTCGGATGATGTCGGCGGTGAGCTCATCCTTGTGACTTCCCACAACTCCGCGGCGAACGAACCTGTGTGGCGATGTGCTGATTAGCCAGCTCCTGGAGAGTCTTGTGTCTCCTCAATTGATCTTAGGACTTACCTGAACTCCTCCACTTCCCTTCCAGCAGCTGCCTTCATGCTCTCGAACTCCTTGACATGATTGCAGGATGGATTGTCGCGCATGCTCTCAAAGGATAAATGTCGTTTCATTTGCTCGATCTGCTCCAGGCTAACCTTCTTATTCAGGAACTGAGCCACCTCTGCGATGACCTCACCCAACTGCCCCTTCATCCTCTCATAGCTGGTGAAGAATATGTTCGGCTCATGGCGCAGCTGCCAGAAATCCAGGACATGCGGCCAGCAGGGCGTGAAGTTCACATAGCCATCGATGAAGGAGTGCATGAAGTCGGACTTGGTGCCCTGGTAGCCCACCATTCCACGCCAGTGGTGGAAGTACGAGATGGCTGCATCCTTGGGATTGCGGTACACATAGATGATCTTGGGCCTCTTGCTCCAGATCTGTTTGGGCAACATCCAGGCGGGCAGATGGGACTTGATGAGACGTGGCGAGGGCAGAGCATTGGCAGCTTCGATGGTGTCATGTGGAACATTGGGCACCACTCCATTGAATCTGGAGAAGATTAGAGATTATTTTCCCACTGACCAGCAGTTAGTCACTTATTTAAAACGTACTCCAGGAAAGGTGATCTCAGCGTAAGATCCACGTTCTTTGCCGTCTCAAAGTCGCACTCATTAACCACCAACCAGGCCAGTTCCTGCATCCAGGTGGTGCCGCATTTCGGCAGGGTGACAATCCACACATCATCCTCACGAACCTCGAAGTCGTACACCCGATCCAGGACCGGTTGGAAGGTGTCCGCCAGGCGACAGAATCGCTGCTCCCAATTTCCGACCACCGGAACTCCAGGCTCACTGCTGGCAAAGATCGAGGAGTAGCCGCCACTGATGGCCAACTTGTCGATCTGCTCGAAGGGCACGCTCTTGGCAAAGAAGCTTGACTGGGGCATCTTTGTGGGATGATCTTCGGGTGACTTCAACTCGAGTGTGGAAACGATCGATTGAACTGATCGGTTCGGCAGTTGAAACCGCATTAAACGCAGCTTGAACAACACCCAGCAATCGGCAGCAGAATCTCGGCTCTTTCCTCAACTTGGAGATGGAATCGTGACACGATCGTCCAGAGAGCTAAAGATCTTTCAGTAATATATGATAATTGGAACATAATATGCTTTGCTTTAATGCACTAAATGAGAGTTTTGAACAAACAATCACGGAGCCATCTCCAAATCACCAAGCAGCCCAACATTATGCAATTAACGCGTAACCGGACTCGTTTTTGTCCATATGCGACACGATTTTGACTGCATGAATCGATCGTGCTGTAAGACTGAAAGACTGACTTTCTTTGTTGGAACGGGCGAAAGAAAGTTTTTGGGCTGGAAACGTTTTGTTTACCTTTTGATTGAGGCGGCCAGGTGAAATTAAGCCCACAGATTTGGGCAGTCGTTAAGTTGGAAGAATGCCAGCCTTTAGTTGAACAAACAGGTTGTTAAAATTCATACAGGGTTGGGGACAAGCTAATAGAATATTTAATTTAATCGATCAAAGTGGGTGAGTGAAATATTAATATGGCTTACGATCAAAGATCGATTCTGAAATTCAGTTAGCCAACCATTTCGTTGGGATAGGATTGGCCAACTTATTTTAACCTTGACCCGAATCCCCCACATTTCACTTTCTTTCTGCTTTGGTTTTTGTAGATAATTTCCATTTTGTTGGATTTTTATTTGTATTATTTGCATTTTGTTTTGTTTCTTGTTTGTGTTGTTTTTTTGTTTTTGTTGTGTTTGGTTTTTTTTTTACAATAAATTTGACTAAATCTTAACATTTATAATCCTTAACCTGCAAGGAGCAAACAGATGTAGTAACAAATATACATAGTCGTATGTAAAGATTTATCATTTTTGTGTTCAGAAACATATAGTAGTACCGTATCTATATATATTTTATGTATACATATATTCATCATAACATGTAAATTGTTTTTGCATTTTACTTAATCATGTCTATGCGACTATTTCCCGCATTATTTGCGATTTTTGTTTTTTTCATTATTCCATTTCTGCTTGTTTGTAATTTACGCGATTTAATCCAATACATACAATTGAAACACACACATATTAACAACATTGAATATGCATATACATTTATATTCTCCTATCGCTCAGTATGATGTCTGTTTTAGTTTTGTGTTCAGTTTAAATGGGATCAGTAGTGATACGAAGTGTGGGAACGGAAAGTGTGGATTTGTGGATTGGTGGGTGTACTGTGTGGTTGTTTTTGGTCGGATTGAGCGGGTTAAATGGGTCGATTAACGACCTTATAGGATATGGGGACTTTCTAGACCAAGGGACTTTGCTACACAGTTCAGGAGGTCGATCGAGGGACTTGTATACGTGTATATAATTTCTATCAAAACATTTTGAAGCACGGGATTTAACACCTTGGTAACACATACAAATTACTGTAACTCTGTGAATGAATGCCGATATCGTATGACATATATAAATATATAATATGCTTCGTAAAAGTTGTATAAATTGTATATATGTATATTGTATATATTATTTTGCTTTTCAATTTCATTTTTTCTTTTTTTTTTTTTAGTTATAACAAGAACATATTATCAATTCGTATTAATAGATCTGGTTTATATATGTATATGTAATTTGTTCAGTCAATTAGATAAAAAGATTTCAAAAAGGATTTCACTTAATTGTTAAACATTTGCCTTTAGTTTGATTTCTCATACCGTATGCTTAGAAAGCTAAACAACATTAATAGTATTAGTTAGGATAGCTCATCATTTCTCGTTTTTCTTCAGTTAGGAAAATAGGTAACTAGTTAATTAGGTAGTAAAAGGGGCCCCATAGGATTTCATATGTCTCAAGAGTGGATTCGAATTAGTTTGTTTCAGTTTTACTTGTAGTTGTTAGCTAGTCGATAGTGATAGTATGTATTATAAAGTGCTTGCCACGATATCGCATGCATGTGTATGTATATAGTCTTCGTCCAGCTATGGCCTTGTACTCGTTCATAATCCGAATCCGAATCCGATTTCAATTCCATTCACGACTAACGATTCTGACTTGGACAGCAATTAAACTATATTTTTCTTGGCTTTTACAGTATTCAACAGAGATTGTCTTCATGATGGGATAGAACTTCATGCTTGTAACACTTGGTTTGGTAATGCCGCGATACCGTTACCAAAACCGTTATACTGTTATACATTATACCGTTGCCAGGTACAGTTGAGCGCACGCCATATATTCTGGTCAATATGCTGTGGGATTTCTTGCTAGCTTGCTAGTTTGCTAGTTTGCTAGCCCGCTAGTCTGCTTTTGTTAGCCTAAACACATACACATTTATATGGGGGGAGGTGGAGGGGACATACACACTCACGCACACACAGACTCACATGGTATATTTATATAGAAATAGAAAGTTCGCTTCTTGTGATGCATCTTAAACATTTAATTTTGAGTCCAGCCCAATAATTGTTTACTTGTTTGCCTTAGTTAGTTTGCTTTGTATGATACCGCATTTGTGACACCGCTTGGCACCTTTTCGTGAGCCGCCCCACTATCCGTACCGCCCACCCCCCACCCCCCGGCCGTTGGTCCGTTGAGAGATATGTGTGTGTGTGGGGGGCAGTCCGGGGAGCGGGAGCGGTGATGGTGGCCCTTAAGCCGGGATGGATGAGCTTCGACTTCAATGAGAGAGGATCAGGCCGAGAGACTGCGGGTCCGGAGTCAGACGTCGCAGGACCTTCGACGCCGTCACTAGAGCACATCCTCCATCTCGTTCTCGCCAATCGTGGAGGTGCCCGGCGCCTGAGCCGGCAGTGGCTTCAATAGACCCGAGAACAATCTCCGGAAGGCCGTATGCTATTTGGAGTTGGCCATCTTTCCCACCGGCGGCTGCTTGGCCATGATCTCCGCCAAGGTGTTCACGCCCTGCTCGTCGTACTTCTTCCACTGCGAGTAGTTGATCTGCATATAGGTGATCAGCTGCGGCATGTCGATGAAGCCTGCAAAGAATGCATTCCAATTAGAGAAGTATCGAGGGGGGGGATGTCATCTGCAGCCATTCAACTCACTCTCCCAGGCGTGCATCATGTCCTGTATGATGTATTCGATGAAGCCGATCTGGCTCTTTGGTATGCTGCAGGTGGCCCGATCGAACATCGGCATCACGATCGGCAGGTGACGCTGCTTCTCCTCGTCCGTCTGCATGAAGTACTCCTCGGCAATGCGACGGGCCCACTCGATGCAGAACTGCATCGGACGGGCGGGATTGCTCACATCGGCCACCTTGATCAGCATGCGGCGCATGAGTATCGACGTCTCCTCATCCGTCTGGCAGTTGTGCTAACGGAATTGCAAACATTAAAAATAATTCTACTAAGAACATAGTGCTATCTATAAGACAATACCTCACGAGGCTCCTCGCCGCCAAAAACGCTCACGAACTTGGCCAGGTGCTCAAAGTGCCGGGTCATCTCGGTGGCCAGGATCATGTCGATGATGGTGCTGCGGGCTGACTTGTACGTCTCCTTGTCCAGGTTCTTGAATATGTTTATCTTATCGTCACCTGATTGTACGAAACGAATATAAACACCAATAAATCGATTAGATCTAAATATGGGATAGGAGCTTGAATGTAAATAATATAAATTTTCTTGAAATTAAAGGAGAGTTAAGTTAAAGCAAGTAATATCTCAAACCCCAAGAGGTCCATACTAGGACGCCACTTAGCACATAATCAAGGTTTAATTTGTTTCAACTAGTTCACATACGATTAATTCCATAATAAAACAAAAAGCTTACTTACCCAGGGTTAGTTTGAAGGTAATGGCCGCATGATGGTTCTCCAGCACTGTAAGATCATTGTACAACACGGCCAGGGCATCGTTTGAGTTGCACAGAAAGGCGGATGAACGACCCGGATGATCCACATCGTGGGCGGCGGCCGCGATCAAAGCAGTTGCCTCCTCCATGCGATCCATCACCAGCATGTCCTTGTTGGTCAGTTGGGTGATGAAAGCGCCAGTGGCCTTTAAGTAGGGAAAAAATAATTATATTAATAAATTATTCCAGAAATTAAATGACAGTCCAAGAAGAGATCCACCTGCATGACATCCGCGGCATGGGTGCTGTTGTGATATGTGTTGCTCTTGCGGTAGTGGGCTTCAATCACGGCCAACCAGGCCTTGCAAACGTTCTCATCGATGTTCAGTGTGGCAAAGACGTCGAAGCGGCGGAACATCTCCATGCCCAAATAGAGCAGCGGGTGGTAGTCGGTGATCTCCTCCAATTTGAAAATATCAAAGTCCCAGCTGAGAGATTCGTCAAGTAGTTCCATGATGATGGGATTGGACTGCAATTGATAGTATAAATACAATGTTGTAATTGGGTAATTGATCTGAGTACAAACCTTCATTTTGGCGGGCACAATCGTGGCAGTTCTTGTGGAGCTGCCAGTGCGTATGATGGAGTCATTCGAGCTGCGGCGCGATGAGTACACGCTGGGTCCCTGAAAATGGGAAATACATCTCAGTTATATTTAAAAATTTGTTTTAAGTCAGGATTATTCAGTTACCGTTAGCAGAGCACCAATCAGATCGGTGGCTATGGGATCGTCCGTTCGTATCTCCTTCATTTGCGGACTGTAGAGTCCCTCGCGCTTCAGGAACTCCAAGACCTTGTCTATGAGACGCGCCTCATCGGCCGAACAATTCTCCTGTACTTGTGATAGTAAATTGATTATCTAATGTGCGAGTGCGCAGTGGTTGCGTTTGTTTTATTATTATTGGTTTTGTTTTTTTTTTTTTTTTGGTTTTTTGATTTTTGATTGTGTTTGTTGGTTTTTGAGTTTTGTACATTATTTTATTTTTGGTTAGCGACGCACAGCGAGCAAAATCGAGCGAGCGAGCGAACGTGCGAACGAACAGTTTGGTACATTATTTTGTAATATTTTTTTTATGAGTTGGTTCATTGTTCGAGTACACAAAACATAAAAGTAAAAAAGAGAACATAACAATTAAGAGATAAAAAGAGAATAAATGTAAGAACATGTTGGCTTAGATGAGCGGTTACTGTTGATTTTGGGATTAGTAGGCGTTAAATTTATGACAAATTAGGAGCTCAAATGGGTGTACAGTGGGGCAATGTAGGTACAAATTAACCCATTGTCAGCCGTTTTAATCAAATACATTAAACGCCAGAGTGGAGTGTGGTATGTAGTTACATTTTTTTTAGGGCAAATCTTTAATTAGCAATAGTGATGACCAGTGAAAGGTCCCTGCTAGGGCGCCAGTTAACACATATTGTGCAGGGGCGAATGCCATGGCCACGTCCTAGATCCCTTTAACCAGATTACCAAAATTTGAGTAATTAATTTGATAATTAAAAGCAGAGTGACTGCTGTCATCCCGTGGCCTTTACATCTCCGACCACAGATAGTCAATGTTAGCACTACTCCAATCCGGAAAATGCATTTGCTCTCGGCTTTCACAGTGTGTCGGTGCCTGTGTCGTGGTGTGCGTGTGTGGGTATGGTCTGTGTGCAGGTGCTTGTGCAAATATTGTTGCTAATGTTATTGCTGTCGCTGCTGCAGTTGCTGCTGCTGCTGCTGCTGCTTTTGCTATTGCTGCATATGCTACGGGGCATGACAGGACACCAGGACACACACACACACACACAGACAGGGCACACGGCACACGGACACAGGCACGGACGACAATTTAGCAATTAGGCATTCCCAAAAGCCCTCCCAATGTTGCAACGTGCTGCAGCCACAAACCAAATGTGAGGCGGATTCATACTTTAGTGATGGGGGCCTCCAGCGGCAGCGACGTCAGCTTGGCCAAACTGGTCCTTCGCAATCCGTCCGAGGCGATGGAGCGCACATCAAAGCTGCAGCGCCGCACCGAGTGCAGTGAGCCCCTGGGTGCCTCTTTGGGCTGCGGCAGTGTGGCTATGAAATCCATCTGTCCGCCGGGCACATCAAAGTTGAAAATCAGGTGCGTGGGTGCGCTGTTGTACAAAAAATGCCAATTAAACGAGATGGTAGGGGGGAGGGGGTGGAGCTCTAACACTCACCTGCCGATGCAGGCAACCGGCACCACGCGCACGTGCATCGGTATGCCCTCCTGACTCTTACGGCGCACCGTGAGGATGCCGTCGAACTCCTTGATGTTCTTGCACTGCTCACTGATGGTGGACAGGTCCGACACGAATATGTCCTCCAGCTGCTTGCTAATGATCTCGTCCTGTTGTCCAACGTGGAAATCTCATTAATGCCGCAATCGCAAACAATCCGCCCCCCGATCCACTTACCAGCCGCATGTTGAGCAGCCTCTCGGTGGCACGATTCGCGTACTGAATCCGCAGCAAGTCGTCCGTGATGAGCACCACCTCCTTTAGCCGGTGCAGAGCCGTGTAGAGGGCCTGCGGGAATGGGTTGGGCAATGGCAAAATGGGGGGTTTACTGAGCGGGCTTACAATTTCATTGCCCTGCAGTGCAGCGCTTCCGTTTAATTGAATTAATTTGAAGAAGTGAGTGGGACAGTGACATTGCGTGCTGGCGCCGAGGGCTGTGGGGACATTAACTCGATTACCTGTTGAGTGGACATGACATTGTGCGGCCGGATGATGGAGTGCAGTATCTGCTTCAGTTCCACACTGCACATGGCCAGGTTGGTCGTCTCCGCTACGCACTGTGGAATACACACAAGATGTAGCATCTGTTTCTGATTCCCTTGCTCCCTTTTCCTCCGATGGGGCAATTAACGGAAACTTACTCTATTAACGCCAGCGTCCAATAGAGCAATTAGCACATCATCCTTTTCGAAGAAACTGCAAAAGTCGTCGGTCGTAAGTCGTTAGTGGAAAGTAGAAGTGGCAAACCCGCCGTAACTACTCACCTCTTCTTGCAGACTGCAATTATTGTCGTTAAATGGTGGCCGTGTGTGTGACGTATGGTTCTGTGGGGACGGTAACGAAGTGCGGAGACAGCAAGTTTTATTGCAAAGTGAAAAGTTTATGAAAATGGAAAAGTTTTGAGAAGTTTGACCGACCCGAAACTTGAAACTCAACCCGAAACCCATTTCACAACTGGCAAACCCATTACCACTACCCACCTCGCAATGTGCTCCGCATCCAGGTTCTTCGTAGAACGCGCATCAATTATGATTAGGTGGTAGCACTGGGCGGTGGCATACGACTTCTGCAGGGTGTCCAGAGCCTCCTCCTTCGACTTGACCAGCGTGACGTCCAGCTGGTGGCGCTGGCAGGCCGCGGTGATCGCCTCGCAGATGCTGTCCGATTTGTGGAAAACCAAGAGGGCCTACGGATGATTTAAAATGGGATGGGTCAAAGCCATTGCACTGATTGAATTGCCCCAGTTCAAAGTGGTCGGAAGAGGGCTTACCTTAAGTGGAGGATTCGGTGGTAGCACGGTTGGATACTTCAAGTCCATGAGATTTCGCTGCATCAGGAAATAAAATGAAATGGAAAGGAAGAAAGGAGGCGATGTCAGAGCAGGTGAGACAACGTGTAAAATTTAATATAAATCTGCGTCTCCTCTGGCTTTGCCATCAAAATAAGAGGGCTTAACCCGGCTTCGCATTGCGAATGTTTGTGGGTGTATCCCTGGGTGTATATATGGGTGTCCCCTATCCGCCAGATACGCGGATACACAATGCGTGTGTGTCGTTCGTGTCGCTTAAATGATGATAAATTAAAATAAAATTGCTCGCCGCTGATTCTGACTTATGTGTGGCACGCTCGTGTGCTGCAGATTTATAATACGAGAACATTAAATCCGCCGAAGGTGGGTTGGGGCTCAGTGTCAATCAGGGGAATGAAAATGTAATCGGAAATGTATCACAGCATTTTCCACACAACACGGCATAAGACGCAGCTAAGGCGGCAGATTGATGGGCCAAGCGTAAAAGTTGGTCGTGTAAAAGCTACCTGGAAAGTCCTGAGCTCCTCCTCCTCCTCCGTTGGCTTCTTGCCACCACCACCACCACCACCAGCGACCAGGAGATGGAGTTTCGGCACCTTGGGCAGTCGTCGCTCGTACAGACTGTGTGCCCTTCGCTCCAGGCAGTTGGCCTTGCGCCGAAGTACCACCGAGTCTTCAAGGTCCTGGTGTCCGGGTGAGATCTCTGCCACCGTACAGCCCCCACTGTCACCCCCCAAATCTCTGACGCCTTCGAGGCTCAGGTTGTTGAGCAACAGGGCCGGGACGTCGAGGCTGCGTATGGCCTCGACTATTTCCGGCTGCAGCGCATTCCGTCCGCCGGCGAAGGCCACGCTCAGGGGCCTTGTGTTGCGGCGCAGGGGGGTCATTATGTCACGACTTTCGGCCTCCACATTCGCCTCGTATTCCAGCTCCATTTCCTCGGGCGTTTTACTCGAATTGCGTCCCACAAATGGCAGGGAAATGGCCACTGGTCCCGGAGTCGGAGCTGCTGCTGCTGCCGAAATCGTTTCCACTTTCATTTCCGGACGGGAACCCTCGCTCTTCGGTCGAATGCCACCATTGGTCGTCATGGTCGTCGGTGACTTCGAATCCGAATCCAAATCCAAATCCAAATGAGCGGCGCTTATCAAGCGACTGCGGCCGCTATCGTCATCTGCGAGCGGTCTTTCATTACGGTTATCGCCACACTGATGGGATGTAGATATAAACGCTGGTGCGGCCGCAATGCCATACGGTTCCGTATCGGAGTCCGGGTCGTTTGATGGATTTTCTCGGCCGGCCGACGCGGATGACTTCGCGGAGGACTTGCGGCGAAAGACTTTACTGAATTTTGGCAAGCAATTGCGCATTCTGCTAATTATAAAACAACACTCAGCCACTCGGGAGAGAGTGAAGCGACACAATCCGTATCGCAATAACAATGACAGCGGCAATTACACTCGGCACTTGAGGTCCAATGTCTTAGATCAATAACAAGTTGTTTGCATAAGCTCCAACACAGACGAACAGCAATGCGGCGCTAGTGGCATTTCCAACTTTTCCACGCCGCCGACTAATGGGACAATCTCGATCTCGGTCTCGATCTGTATCTGTCTGTATCTCGTTCGGTATCTTCGCAATCAGTTCTAAATAATTCACAGGTTTTGTGGTCGAAACTAAGCGACTACGCGGCTACGCTCAAACATTGAACTGAAACGAAACGAACTGAGTCGCGTCGATCGGGGTATAATCTCTTTCTTTGCCTTTTGATTTCCCACCTTCAATGTTAATTGATTTGATTTCTCTGGTAGCGTATTGTTTATAGGCAAAACACACACACTTGGCCCCCATCCAATGTGTTGGTGAGCGGCTATTTAAAGCGGAATGTAAACCGAAAAGCGCAACGCTCTCCGCTCAACCCGCTGCCATATAAAAAACGCGGGTCTGTGATAAGATACCTTATCAAAAGACGTAACACCCATGTGGTTCAGTTCCCCCTCGAATAGTAATAGTGGATGAGGATGGGGGTGGTGTATTGTGATGGCAGACTCACCTGGTAGACGTCCATCGGCTCATCTTCCGGGGTGAGGGCGAGGGCGAGCGATGACTTGCGGTGACCTGGACGGCTGTTCCCGCCGCCGGATGAACTGGTGCCCGATGTGCCTGTGCCTGTGCAGCCAAGAAAAATACGAAAAAAAAGGGGGAAAATCGTTTAGAGACGAGGAAAATTCTCGGAAAAGTATGCTACATTTCTGGGCGTTTCAACGGCTCGAAAGGCGTTGCATACTTGGGGGCGAGGGCCAAATGCTCGCACGCCCACAATCAAAATGAATGGTCACCATACACACACACACACACACACACTCGGGCAGGGACACGCACGCACATTAATTCCTCTTGTTGCACGTTTTATTTAATTATAAACGTTGGCATTTCAGAAACACTTTATAAACGGGAAGCCCGTACACGCACACACGCACACTCGCATCCAAACACCCACACACATACACACGTGTGCCTGCGAAAGGGTACAAAGGTCCTTGGGGGCGGACCCGGTTTCCTATCTGTCAACGAAGGCACTCCGACCCACTGAGCAGAGACCCCCAGGAACTAAGCCGCACAAATTGTATTTCACTTAATGAGAAACAGGTCGGGACTACAACAACATCCCACTTTATTTTATGCTGCGGCAAGCCAACTAAAACAAAAATCCCTTCATAAAAAGCTGTGCGGAGTGCCATGGTTACAAGCTCTACAGAAAAAAAATAATAGTACTTCAAATTGCAGGCTAAACAAATAACTCTAACAGTTGAACCTTTAATATTCATCCATCCATTGAAGTATCCTGAATCCAGACTTATTTTCCTTATGTTTACATTGCACATATTTAAGTAGAATATTTCAATCCATATGGGAGTTGGCCATACCTTCTCAGGCATTCTCAAAGTTAAATTCCTTGGCAAAGTTTAGGGGAAATTAAAATTCTGTGGCTTCTCGCAAGTTATGTATGCTCAGGCCCAAACAATTTTTAAGACCCCAAATGATTGACCAAACAAACTTTCTGTGTAACGAAATTTGTTCGAGGCTTTTGTGCGGATTCCCTGCAAGCAAATTAAAGTTCTCAACAAGTAATTTTAGGTTTTGTTCTGGGGCTTTTTAAAATTGATAAGGAATATCCATATGGCTTGTTGGCTCCTACCTAATAAAAAAGCTTATTGTTAGCTGATTTGATACGTATACGTAATTTTTTTCAAATTAAGCAATTGTTATATTACCCCGTTTCATTTGATTAGCTTTATTATAATCTATAAGAAAACATTTAGTTTCAAACAACTTATTATTATTTTATAACACTAATTAAATTCTGCTTGGTCAATGTGGTTTTTAATTCAACTAATTTTTATCTTTTGAAAATGGCCTTGATTATTCCTAATTTAAGCCACCATCTATGTAACATTCATTCAATTTAATTGTATTCTAAGGACGAAGTTTTCATGGAATTTTAATATTGTTTTGTTTTAGTCCAACAGAATTATATTCTCTGGAAACTCTGATATTTAATATGCACTTAGTTTAATTTTGTTCTATGGAATCTGTATCATAATTTTCTCATTTTCCGATGGTTTCATTTATGTTCAGTTATTTTTACAATTTTTCATTTTGTGCCACTAGAATGTTAAATGGCTTTCTCCAACTTGTAAATTGATGTAGGCAGCTAAGCAGGTGGAAATTCAACTAGCTGCCAACATTTATTAGAAAAGTAAGGGAATGAAGATAACTTTCGGAATGATTTTTAATTGCCAGGAACCCACTTGGCAACGCATAATTTTGGCCAACCACTCCCCTGTGGACACGCATGTTAACCGCCTCATCAAACTCAACTTTAACCCCATATGAGTTGGGGGGGGGGGTTGGAAAAGCGAAGACGTAGGAGGAGGAGGAGTAACCTTACCCACATTTAGCTCGGACTCGGAGGCCGGACGCGTTAATGAATCTCTGCCTGGTGCCGTAGACGTTGGTGTTTTCGGTGTGGCTGTTGTTGTTGGCTCCACGGCTGGTGGGGATTGTCTGGCCCCCAGAGCCCCGCCCACGCCCACGCCAACGCTCACGCCCACTGCCCCACAATTGCAAGTGCTGGGCACACTTTCTTCGCTCATGTGGGCACTAGTGGTCGTCGTCGTCGACGTCGTCGTCACCGATCCAACCAAATTCGGCTGGCTGGAAATTATCATTGTTTGTGTTTTTTTTTTCGCTTTTCTTTATTTATTCCCCGCTTTTTTTTGCTTTTCTTTTTTTTTTTTTTGTTCTTATGCTTTACGGGTATTTTGCAAATGAAGTCACACAAATTTGTATTATTTTCGGGGCATTATGTTAATTGTCATTTATGTGCAATAGTTTGTTTATCTGGCTGCGGCATTGATTTCACACAATTAGTGCGTAATGATAAACTGCCCCACATGCATATAAGTGTACGAATATGGAACGTATAGCGCACAAGATACGGCAGCATGTGTGCACACTTAATATAAATAGCCCGAGTGGGGCATAAACAAAAACTAGCCAGGGAAAGTACCCGTCGAGTGGGCCTATGTACTGAGCAGGCGGTACGAGATCCATGTACATGGTCCCGCCACTGGGGACAGTATATTTGCGCTTATTCAAATGGGTCGGGTGTATCTTATCGTTTGTGTATTATTATTATTATTTTTTTTTTTTTTTTTTTCGGAGCTGCCCGGGAGTAAAGTGAAGTGGAGTATGGAAAAGGAGGCAGGGGTACACACGCGTTGTAATCTAAACGAAAATCGATAAATTGTTTAGATAAAAAGCGGCCAGCAGCCGCTGACGTCGCAGCAACAGGCTCTTCGTACTTCGTAATACTCGAGGTCCCTTAAAACTGGGTGGAACTATTTCGATGGCCAAACTTGGGATATGATTTTACTTACTGCCTGGCCTTACACTGCTGCTCATAGTACAAAGTCACACACGATGGCGGCAAACGCGGTCTCATCAAATATGAATTTCGGGTCTACTTTTCACTCAAAACCTGCGAATTGATCTATTGGCCAAATTGCGGAAGATAAACGGGGGATTAAAGCCAAACGGAAAACCAAATTGGCACAAAATGCGAAATAAAACGCGAGCCGGACTGGGGAAAACGTCCGTTCTAATCCGGTATGAAGAACTGTTTGCCAGATGATAATTCTCGCACGGATTTTCAAACTGCCAGCGGCGGTGGAAGCGACTGCGACCGAGACTGCGACTGCGAAGTCCGTGTGCGCTGCGGCACAAACTAACGGTCTGCTGGGCTGTCGCCAAACGCAACGGCAATCGCAATCCGTGAGATACTTTTTGGGGCGTATATAAGGCGCTTAGCTACCGCGAAGGCAGGTGCATTTCCCTTAAATACCGCACGCTGCCAGTACTGAATTTAAAGTTAATGACAAAGAGCGGATTAGGGAGCAGCAGGGGCTTTTGGCCAGTCCCACTGGCCGATCTTTATTTATTTTTTTTTTTTTGGTTTTGGGGCCTTTTGCGCCTTTGGCCGTTGTCATGGCGACCAATTAATTTGTGATAAGATAATATCAGGCAAGTTTGCTCATAGTATTCAGATGTTTAGGCTGTGTGCGTTGTGGGGGAGATACAGACTGTGGGCACAGGTTGGGATACAGGTACACTCGGCCAGATGCAGATACAGCCGGGGTAGAGATACAGATACAGGTGCGAGGAGGAGGGGTGCGGGGCGAACGCGTGCACAATCTACATCTGTGGGGCTGGAGTGGGTGGTGAGTGGCCCTGGGCCAGCTCTATCTAACCCGATCTTCTTGGCTCAGCGATACTCGCCGTTGATAGCCGACCGCTGGACATATGGCCAATAGGTGGAGAAGGGAGGGGGGGCCTATCAATATGTATAGGCAGCAGGGAGTATTCATTCAGCGGTAATCTAATCTGCGCATATTTCTAGAGAGCTTCACGTGGCTAAACTGAACGTAATTTGTGTAAGACCGCCGCGAATCGCACTATAATGCGAGCCCAAGCAAAAGTTTGTGGTGACTACACAGCCGTCATCGCTCAATTTCCCAATTTACGGGAATACTGATAAACTGCAGAACTTTGACGCGTGGGATTAGCCGCCTATAATGAATCGAGTAGCGTCGAGTCGATTCGAGTGATCGTTCAGTTTGTTTTCTTTGGCTTTGATTGATGTTTTGGCGCCATACCGTGGGCGTTCCATTGTTTACCGGGGCTCCACTCTGCTCGTGAGAGACTGCCGATCGGCTCCGATCGAGCTGAATTAAATGGGGAAAAGATTCAGAGTGCGAGCTCGTAATATTATATTTTCGTATCTCGCTCCCCTTCTGTTCTTATACGGCTGCTGTGTGTGACTGGCACAAAACCAGATATTGTCATGTGAATTTTTGCATATTAATTGAAATTTTTTCACAGAGGTTCACCGTAAGTTATACCTATTATTGGGCAGTACGCAACAGAATTGGGCTCTGAGTATCTGCGCGTATCTGTATCCATATCTATCGGATATGGAAAACAGATACACGAAAACAAAATCTAGCCGGAGATTGCTACTCGTTACACTTGTTGTTTCTGCTGCGGTTGTTGGCACACTTAGTTGTGAAGTTTGTTTTGATTTTTAACACTTTTTTTTTTTTTGGTTTTTTTTTTTTGCTTTTCGTGCGCGGGTATGTACACTTTTGTTGTATTTTAGAGCACGCTAAGCTGTTTTTTTCCACCTCAAGCGAATGCAGCCATCGAATTTCAGCGCGTACATGATTTCCAGTTGGCTCTATGCGTTTTTTAATTGCAATCGCTTTGGATCGACGACTGGTTGGCCCTGGGTTATATGTTATATGCGATATAGCGTGTTATAGGCACGACTTGGCCAAATTCAAGCCACTGCATTAGGTGGCAAATTGTGGCGACCAGTTTGCAGCAGCTGGCAATGATTTCTTTTCTTTTTTTTGGGATTTGCATGGAGCGCGGTACTTTTGCAGTGAGTTAACGAATCCGATTTCGATCCCGATTCTATGGTAATATGGCACATACACTGGGATTCATATATGTTGCAGCGACGTCGACTGCGGCGGCGACTGAGCGACCGACGCGGCGAAAGAATCTACAACAACTGACAACCATAAATGGCGAGCAGCTGTTGCCGCAACGCTGGGAGAGAGAGCTTTGGCGATAAACGAAGACGAAGCTCGCTCCACTGCTCCACCGCTCTCCCGGCCCAGTTCCCCACCTCCCACTCCCCGCCAGCTCTCCCAATCCGATCCGTTTGCTGAGCGCGATCAAGTTTCACCGATGCTCACTCACTCTCCTATCAGAGCTCCATTGAAACGAGAGAAAGAGAGCGAGAGAGAGTGGGGCAGAGAGCGGGGAACTGTTAATTGGACGGCGACACAAAACAGCTGCGCTTTGGATCCCCGACAAGCGCCAGCTGACTCTTCCGAGTCTGGGATCAAGTTACCTGGACAATCGCTTGGATTATAAGGCACCTCAGATACCCTACATACATTAATACTATCCGAAGAACATAGTTTTCTAACCCAATTTTAATTTTGAACCATATTATGTCCTGAACTCTAAAGGTCTTAATCACAAGCCACACGAATTTAAGGTTTATATGAATGAATAAATTGGACTTCTAGAGATTATGTCTTTATCTTTGATACAAGAAATCTAAATTAGGGTATATTTCCATTTAAATTGTTCGCACATTTTAAGGCATAAATGTTTAGTTATAATATTTTTATTATAAAATTATGTTGTTATGATTATGTTAACCATTTTTGTCGTTCAGAATCAAAAATATAATCTGCTAATATACCCTATAACTCACTAATCAATCTTAATCCCGTTTTATCTAGCCACTTGAGTTGATTGGTTCGAATTTGGAGCATTGTAAATCTTCAGGAAATCAGAGGAAAAGGAAATGTGCAACCGATTCTGAGATTCCCATTAATAAGTGCTATTATGAGTACTATCAGGTAGCATTGCGGAAGTTCTTGATGGTGGAGTAGCGTCACTTCAGATTAGAAGAAGCAGAAGCAGAGTTCCTCAATAGCAGGCCTTATCTATCACTATTGTTAACCAATATTGAGTGTTAAAGGTGACAAAAGCAGAAACTTTGCCTCATATTAAGGGGTATTAGGTAAATGATGCTACCAAAGGGATCATGTTTCGATGAAACACCGAAAGAAATAACTTATAAAAATGTTATATGTTATGGTTCATTTCTATGACATACGAATCATTTATAAAGAATTTGGAATGTACAGTTGAGGGCCTAAAACTTGATCAGATTACGGTTTTTATAAACAAGTGAGAATATACAGTTTAGTTCTTAAAACCTAATCAGATTTCAGTTTAAAAAAAAAAGTTTCCGAGAAAGCCAATGTTTAAGAATAACAATTGTTAAATTATTTTACTTTATATATACAATTGTAATGCAAACGAATTGCAATGTAAACCAAACAAATTCTGGCAAAGAGGTTTACTGTATCGTGAATTGTTTTATATAATTTTTCGAGGAATCAATGGATGTTATCCCTATTTTTTATGTGTACATAGGCTTAAAGGTAAAGTTTTGAGGAAGATTAATACTTACTTCCAGTGGCCCGTCGAACCACGCTGTGTGTGAAGTTGCCCAACGCGGCTACCGTCACAATCGAGTCCTTTTTGCCGGTGCTCAGCTTTTGGAAGACAAGAAATAAGACCACGAGTTTCTAAGGAGAAGGGGGAGGGGAGACATCTGCGGTTTTGGTTACCTTTTCGTAGTCGGCCTCGCTTTTGGTCTGCAGCGGATTGAGGAGCACCTGGCCGCACAGGTTGTCGCCCGCCGAACTCCCGTTGCCGTCGCTGGGTGGCTGCAAGGTCACGCCCCCGCAGCTGCAGCGTCGCAGGCGACTGCGCCTCAATTTGATGCAGAACAGCCGGCTGCCATCCTTTTCAGTGGCGTCCAGTGGGAGGGATCCCTGGCCGTCCGACTGGCCGGCGGTGGCGGAGGGGGCGGGCAGAGTGCTCGGCGAACAGCCCATGGCGAAGTCCTGCTTCTGATTCCGTTGCGGTTGCTATGCTAAATTGCTCTTGGTTGCCTTGTGATTTTGGTTTTAGTTTCGTTTCCGGTTGTGACTTTGGTCTACGGATTCCTGGGATTCCTCGGTATCCTACTCCTGAGATCCCGGGTATGGCTCTTGCACGGCTTACGCTCGCTCCACCAATGCTTTTGGCCTTGGCAGTGCTGCTGCCTCTTGGTTTTTGCGGTTGCTGCTGCTCTGGTTCGATGGTTTCGATTCTGGACGATGTCGTTGTTGCTGGCGATAACATAATTGAAACATTTTTGGGCTGCGGTCTGCTGATTGATTGACTGATGGCCAGTGGAGATACTGGTCACATGATCCACAAAACTGCAAAAATCGAAATGGAAAGTGGATTCTCAGTTAATTGAAATACCAGGCAAATGCAATGAGTTTGTCCGACACAAAAAATTTCCAAGTGGTTTTTCATCGTTTGGCAGCTCAAATTGCATTGCTTTTGTAAGCCCCCAAAGACTCTTCAACTGATTAAAAAGTCAAAAAACTCATTTAAGAGTAAACAAATTCAAATTGTTTTACTAACAACTGGTTTTCACAGTCGAAGTTTTTTGTTTGTAAAAATATTAGAAGCTTAATTTACTGAAAGTAATAAAAGTATACTTTAAAATGGAAAGTAACTATTGGCAGTCCCTTTACCCAATTTGTTTATCACAATTTTTTAAATTTTATTTAAAAGTATCATAGACTTTTTGAAAATTCTATTTAACTCTCATGAACTGTAAGTTAACCTTTAAGTTTGCATATCCTTTAAGTCCTTAATATAATTCTCAACAAAACTTTTTTGATTTGAATAAATTTGATTAAGCCAAGCCCAACGTTTTTGTTCAATAATTTAGGCACTGACCTACATTAACTTTGTGCCTTCCCGTTCTTTTTTTTTGTACTTCCCAGCTTAATTAGTTAAACTAGTTTAATTGACATTGATAAGCCAGAGTGATAAATGACGAGTTGAAGTGCATTACTGGTATTTTAACTCGATTACGAAAGGCAGTTGGAGTCCCCCATTCAAGCGGCGTTCCATTGAAACTCTCATCGAATATGGACAGAGCACCCGCACAATTGTCAAAAACTCTTGGCGATTGTTATAAATTCATAAAAGCCCAAATATTGGCAATGATTATTGGAGCCAAGGCGACAAAAAAATCAAAATAAAACAGGGCCCTTGAACGTGACCAACTCGCTGCATATGAATAATGCCCAGTCGAAGTTAAATTTGCGTTTTTCGTTTGCCAGCGACTCCTGTCTGCCATATTAAGTTCGAATCCCGAAAGTTGGTGAAACTTGATAGTCTGAGCACTCGGTGGCACGTATCAAACAATTGACTTGTGGGGATTTGGGGGTGTCATATATAATACAGCTTTGGGTACCTCGCATATCTGTGACGGCGATGTCGATGCGATGTCGCCCTGTTGTTCTCATTCCGGCTGTCAGTCGGCTTTATCTTGGGGCAGGCAAATAGAAAAACCCTCTGTCGCTGGCTCGTGTCTTGCTAACCAATTTTAAATATTTAGATAAAACTCGAACGAAAGCGAAAGAAGCAAATCAACTGATATGGAGCGGAATGGGGTACGGTGGAGACCGACGAACTCTTCAGATTAGTCACCGAAAGTCGTACCCATTTCAAGTGGCAATTGGAGCTCGGCTCCGTCTCCTTCGCCTCGGTAGATCATGTCTGCGAGTGAAATGTCTTCTGTCTTTTCTCTGGGGGTGGAATAACATTTCCAGGGGGTGCGGCGGAAAAGATAGTCCTTATCCCCGGCGACGTTGATTGACTTGCTAAAAGGAAGGGCTGTCTTTCATCTGCATTCGCACATAAACACATCCACATCCATAAGGACACTTGTTGTCGTCCCACTGTCTGAATCCGTTTGCATTGTTGGGGCCAAAAACAAAAGGCGTCACAACAGAAGACACAAACAGGCGAGAGGAGGAAGGCCAGAAACGGCAGCATAAGTACACAGAGAAATATATCATTAGGATTGGTCATCCATTAGGAATTTTTTATTAGTCCCTTTTTTGTGACCTTTGCTAATATTAAAGTAGGTAATAATACAAATTGAATTCCCACTTCAAGAAGATTCAATCCAAATATTTCCTAATGTTTATAAATTTATAAGTTTATAAATTATTTGCTTCACGCGCATTAAATCAAGTGTAGTGTGACCTTGCTGGTAAAATAAAGTCCAAATTATTTTTTGAGCTAAGATCACACTTTTTAAATATAGTATGCCTCCTCATACGATTAACATTTTTTCTCCGTGCAGAATCAGATTCAGCTCCAAGCAAACTCATCCACATTCCCAGCAATGAAAAAACTACAATAGAGATGTCGAGAATCAGCTTCGCGTACACATCAGTCTATGGTGTGTTTGTTGATTTAAACAAATTATTTTTAGCCCGACCATATTAAAATGAACAAGTAATGCCTTTCGCCGTACACTCAGCCTTATTTAAGTTTTCAAATAAATAACGAACGTTGTGGACGTAACATAATTTGTTTACCGCTGCCCGGGGACGAGGCGGTTGCAATTGCTCAGCCGCCCTGTTGCCAGGCTATGCTGTACCTATACCCATAGATGTATACAAGTATAATCGGGGGCCTCGAGTTCCTGTGCGGCGCCTCTTGGTATGCAACTAAAGGCTCCAAAGTGCCAAGGAGTGTGCCAAATTCTATTAGCGGTCCCCAACGTCAACGTCAACTCATTAGATGCAGCCAGTCACGGATGCTTGGCCCGAAGCTATTAGTATGCAGGTGCTTGTGGATATTCGTATAATAGCATCATCAGGATGCCTGTGTGTGGTGTGTGGCAGTGTGTTTGTGCGGGAGCCCCTAATAGAATTCCTTACCAATATGTACTCGAGAATGAAGGTATTTGGCTGGCAGCCGAAAGCCGAAGCCGGGCCATATAGGAAACCTGGCCGAGACCAAAAAAAGATGAACATGGAACATGGCGGAGCGCATTCGAGCAATTTAGTATCTAATAGTTTTTGCCCCGCTGATGTTTTGCAGCTGCCGATCACTCGGCTTCGGTTTTCTGT